TCCCAGGATAGGAGTCCATGATTCTGGCCTACGGAATCCCAGAACCGCAGGACATGCTTCATGACAGGTTGAGAGACGAAGATGGCTAGATTCGAATCGGACGCTCACACCATGGAGGAGCCGAGAGTGCTGAGCGATGTGTATTGCATAGCACAAAGTCGTGCATAGCAACGTATCACTACAGGCGACGACCGAAGCTGAGAATAGGGGCAGGCACAAGCAACGCGAGAGGCACCGAGCGCTTCGGGGTACAGTATACCCGCAGTCCTCAGCATACAGAGGTGCCGGACGACACCCCGACTGTCGAGACCGGAGCGGAACACTGGGGGCTTGGAGGGCCCTCGGTGATATGCCACTGGATGTGGGCGCGAAGAGCTTCTTGCAGGGGCATATGGGTGTTCGAGGCCTATGGAAGATGACGATGCCAAACAGAAACGCAGATCCGGACGTTTTCAGAGCGCCGCGTCGATAGTTCGAAAGGCCGTACTTTGTCAGGAGCCCGCAAGTCGCGGCGACAGAGCGTGAATGGCTAATCAAAGACCGACAGAATCAGCACGCCAGCCGATGTTCGATCCGGCGTGAACGAGCTCGCCAGAGATGCTCCACGTAAATCCGGCGCACGGATCGGTGAATGCAGATGGCGAGGAAGACGACGACGATATCGTATCTTCCCCTCATTGGGACGCAGAAAAGGGGCGGACAGAAGCCTCTGCGCGGAACGGAAGGGCTGCACTTCTGCATAATGAAAGGACCCGGGCATCGGGTCGCATGCACTCCGTTCGAACGTCATCGACACGGCTTGCGAACGTGCAGCCACGGCCAGAGTAGGAAGGCGTTCTGGATGGGGGAGTCGGAAGAACGGCCGGGACTGTTCAACGTTCAGGCAGCGCTGCGAAAGACCGCGGGAGCCGCCGCCACCGCCGCGGTTTGCCGTGCGCGGTGCTTTGAGCCCAAGATAGCAGCGCTCGCAATCCAGTCTCCAGTCGTATGTCTGTAACCCAGCTAAATGGAGTTGAGTCGGCGCAAGGACGGATGTGCGGAAAGTGAACTCTACCGGATGCTGACCTCCTGCGCCAATCAGGGGTATCCGTCGACATCGAGAGTGGTCGACAGCGTTGCCTTGAGAGGTGATGGGAGACCCGCGCGCGGGCCTTCTGCGGCAGAAGAACCAGGGAGGGATGGCAGGCAGGTGGAGATTGGGACTGATAGGGACTTGGATGAATGACAGGTCATATCGGGTGACAGGGAATCGCAAACGCCTGAGGAGTGCCGTGGGGGTAAAGAGCCCGAAGTCGACGCTTACTTTGCAATGCCTTCCAACCGGGAGGAGGAGGAGGGCCAATGAGCGGTCACTTGGTGTATGAAAGTCGGAGACTAGGCGTTCAGGTAGGTACATTGGCGTCGTGCACCTGCAATGTGCGAAGATGACTGAGTCCTGGAGCGGAGATGGGTTCGTCATTTGGACTTGGGAAAGCGATTTTCAAACCTTATCCAGGTGGTTGCGGTTTGACAGAAACACGGGTGACGAGGGCTCGAACGCAGGCCTCCCACAAGGCACAGGTACCTGACAAGCCACCATCCAGACATTCAGTAGGAGGCATCTTCTCCCGCACTGTAGTCTGTCAACACCGTGGATGACCTGGCTATAGCTTGTCACTTCTGACTACTTGCGGCAGACTCGCACTGAACGCCTAGTCAGGCTGAAACAGCTCTGCATACAATCATCGCTGTCGGCGAGCATTCGACGCCTCTGCGTGTGCCGCCGGGGTATGCGAAGAGGAAGAGCGACGGGGATACGCACGATCGTAGACAGAAAAGAGTCATTTGGCCCGCGTTCTTCATCTCAGAAACGCAGATCCCGTTAACGACTCTGCATCGCGGATGAGTAGACCCAGCTGCTCGTTCGAGGGATTCCAGGCCGGCGCCTGAACCGGCATATCCGTCGAGGGTGGTAGCGCGCAGTCAAGGCGTGATTTGCGGGGACTTGATACTTGACTCCAGCAGATTAGAACCCGTTTGATGGCTTCTCTTCAGAAAGAAACGCAGATACAGTAGCGGCATAGCTCAGAGAGGCGGGGAGGCGGCGGGGATAGTGGACCGATGTATGTCCTCCTTAACTCCTCCCGCCAATGTTCCCAGACTGGGACGACTTCAAAGTGATGAGATGGCGCATCGCAGTGCAGAGACCAAGGCGATGATGCAGACTGCTTGCGAGCGGGTGAGAAGAGGAACATCGGTCGGAACGAGTATAGAGGAGAGCAGGCGGCCGGGGCCGGAGGAGTGGACAAATGCCCCGCCGGAAAAAGATGCTAGCCGGAAAAGGGAGGTATTTCGCTTGCATTGAGTGGATCTGGGAATATCGGGGAGAGATTGAGGTGCTGCTTATGTAAGAGAAGGATTGATGGGAGGTTTCTCGAGGACGGCGGCGCGCTGGGAGTGGCATTCGGGATTGAAAACCCAGGCGAATTCCAAGAATCGCAGCCATGTCACCGTTTGAGCCTTTCGCTCGGCTATATACTCCCATCAAACTCTCTGCCAAGCACATACAGCAGTCGTTCCCCCCGCCCGCACGCAGATGCTTCAAATACCCTCCCTCCTCCTCCTTCTTTCCCGTTGATCCTCCCCTCCCCTTCACACTCTCCCGTAAGCAGCCTCGCCCCCCCCCCGCCCGCACCGACGTCCGCCTCCGACATCTCTTCGTCGGCCGTCTCGTTCCCACTACGTAACACTTACCTCATCAGTCGCTTAGGTCCAGACACGCGTCCGAGGTGTGTCTACAGACGCGTCTTTTTTGTGCATCCATCCTCACTCTGCCACCTGGCCCCAGCCACGCACCGCGACCGACCATGCAGTCTCACTTCACGAAGCGGTCCCTCCCCTCACCTCGTGAACTGGACGCTAAGCTCGAGCTATTGCAAGAGCTCGGCTATGTCGATCGCTTCTACCTCGAGGACGACGACACGCACACCGGCAACCCGGTCTTCCTCGACAACGCAGACCGGTGGGTAGAGACCGAATACGAGTGGGCTCTTGAAGAAGCGGCCGAGCCTATCGCTGGCGTTCCCGATTTCTTTGACGGTCAGTTTATGGCAATTCTTCATGCCACCCGTTCATGCCCTGATTCGTCAACACGTTGCAGCGGAAGAAGACGAGGAAGCATGCCTCCCATGCGTGTATGACCCAACCTTCTTCGCCGGAAGACAGCCCATGGCGTCGGCGACACGCTCTCGCAGTCAGAGTCTATCGCAGCCGCTCCGGACAGGGTCGGACAAAGTACGTTCTTGCGTTCTGGTCATCAATCGTTTCGTCTTCTCCGCAGTTCCATGTTCGTTTCCGGTCGCTTCTCTACTCGACATGGCATTTCGACGCGTTCTCTGCAGCTGTTGTCCGTCCAAGCAAGCTCGGACGACAACTGTAGAGCATGCTGCCATATGGTCAAAGCTTTCTGCCAGCAATCTGCTAGTAACTCTTTGCAGCGTGAAGTACGGTCTGATTGGGGGCGGGACCTGCCTTAGCGGGGCTAGGCGGGATGTCCTAGCATCGGACAAAGCCGAGATTACCGATTAGGGCCTAGCCCGCCTGCGCAGACTACCTACCTTTGATTCGGTACGCTGAGTCTGCCGTCCCTTCAACGACGACTGTACAAGTGTCACTTATGTTGATCATCTCTTGTCCCGGAAGCCATGTCTGATGCTCACGATTTGACTTTCTAGCCACTTCCAAGTATCCCTCCACTACGGTTGCGCAATCGCCCCAGTCTACCCATAGTGCCGCCGTCATCGCCAGTGCAAATGTCGGCTCTGTCGTCACCAGGAAACAGCCCCTCGATACCTATCGGCGTGACACGTGGCGAAATTCGCCAGACCCCCCCTTCGTCACCGCGTCTCGTGGGATCTCCGAAGTCGCGTACCTTCCCACGATCTCATGGCTCGCCTCCGGCGACGCGGCCCGCGGCCCATCGCCATGCGACGTTCCCATCCATCTCATCGACGCTCTCCCTCCTCGAAGAGCGTGAATCCGAAGCAGATAAAAGGTCTGCAGTCTACGTTCACGACGGCGACCCTCAGCCTCTTCCGCAATCAGCAACAAAGTCCGTCGGGCGGGGTCGCAGCAGCAGCGCCACCATCGCGAGCGGTGGACGTCTCAGCAGCTCCTTCCCAATCAGCTCTAGCCCGAGGAGAAAGCAGCGGCCTGCCTTGCCTGCGTTGTCCACCTCCGCCTCCTCGCCGCAGCTGCGAAGGCTAGCAGAGCTCGCGTCGACCCCGTCGCCATCCTTCTCCGCATGCAGCCCTCTGCTTCCCTCGCTAATGAGCGACACTGCAGACACTCCACAGTCTGACGACATGGTCTCACCTGGAGAAGCCATCACCTCCCCACCGCTGGAGAGCCCTGAGGAGGCGACGGTGGAGCCCGGTCTGGCGTCTCGCTGGTCGCTCGATTCGGTGGCGTCCCGACCCCGCATCACGCAGATGGCCCTTGATGATGGTTCAGCGTCTCCGGCTAGCAAGACGAGGAAGCGAGATCGCCTGCTCAGTTTAATATCCGGCCGTACCCGGTCTGGATCCGTGACTAAACCTTTGCCCCCGCCCAACACTCCCCGCGCCTCCTCAGACGTCGTTGACATCTACCGCATCGACGCCCGCGACGCCCTCAGCCCCATCGTCAGCAGCCCCTCACGGTCCACGTTCCCAATGCCGCCAAGAATCCAGCAAGCGCCGTCGTTGTCGTCGACGGACTCTTCGAACACGTCGTCTGCGTCCAATCTGGCGACACCCGTCGAGCCCGTGTACCCTGGTTCTTCCGATCCTTTCGCGATGGACTCTCCCTCGTGCATGCCGGAGTACCTGGAAGAGGAGGAGGGGTCGCCCGTCTTCGCGGACAACCCGTACATCGCGCCCGAGTCTCCCCTCCTCCTGCCCGAGTCTCCAGTATCGTCCGTCCCTCCTCTTCCTCTCTCCCCTCCCGGACCCCTCAGGTTACACATCGACGACGACCTCCCCATGTCGCCAAGCTCGCCCCCACCACAACCGACGCTGCCCCTCCCCTCGCCCAGCACGCCCTCGCCGTCCTTCCTCGTTCCCTCGCCGCGCCCGCAGTCGTTCTTCGCGACGATCACCGGTCGCCAGAAGAGACGCAAGAAGAAGCTCGTCATCTCCGGCGCGCCTCTCGAGATCGGCCAGCCTCGCGCATCGTCGTCCGTCTCTCCTACGCAGTCGTCAGACGACCTGCAGCACCGCCAGCAGGAGCAGCAGAGGCGCATGCAGAACGTCGTAAAATGGTGCGAGAGCTTCGGGCCGCTGCGCAAGATCGAGACGAAGGAGGACGGGAGCTTGCACGTGTACTGGAAAGACTGGGAGGTCGCCGATAGGGTGAGTGCCGTCTTCAGTTCATTTTGAGAGCTCCGCTTTGCTCACTGGATCCTTTCTTTCGTTCGCAGGTGTGCCGTATACAAGCTCAAGTCGTCATCAAAGACGTTGGCCGCGTGAGCTTGGCTTGGTCGTATATCTCATGAGGAGGATATACGGCGACTACCATCAGAGAAACGATCGATCATTCTACCCCGACCAACGCCACCGACTCTAATCCTTAAACCGCCCAATTGCACTTACCTACATATCACAGCGACGCCATCCATCACAATCGCCCACTCCTTCAATATCTCCCGTAACGTACACGCTCATTCCACTGGATCCTATACCGCGGCATCGTCGTCGTAACATACAACGCCCATTATCGCACGCTCATTTGTAGTTTTCTCTCGTCTTCATTCTCTGGATGGATGCTGCGCTGATACGATAGGTGTCTTCCTCTCACTAACATCGCATCCTATCTCCCACCCGCTCGACATTTCCGCATATCTTCCTGGGTTACAGTCCTGACTCCCTCCCATACACTCTCACTATCCCCTGCTGGAATTGGTCGGTCGCTCCGTTCGGTCAGCTTCATCTCGGCTCGTGCTTCGTATTCCTCGTCGCTCTCTGGGCACCTCGTCATCTCCTATCACTTCTGCGTTATCGTCCTGTCCGAGGCATCCTACAGTTGTTTTGCTATCGTGTCATCATCCCTGTTGTGTGGTCCCATTATCCTCATCTCATCACACTCTCATCCTACAATTATCACTCTCCACGAGTGAACACTGATAACGCCGCGCCGGCTGCCCACGGCGCGGCGCGTACAAAGCAAGGGCGTGTGGAAAGTACTGTAGTAACTTTGTATATGATGTATCTAATCCCATATAGACCGCGCTGCGTCGCACAATCGAACTAGACGTTGAAGCATTCCATCACCATCATCCCTGCATACCGGCGTGCGACGTCTTCGTGTGATTTGCTCCTTTCATCTAATTCCCCGCGAAGACCCAATTTACGCAGACGCCCATGCGCTTCTTGCAGACACCTGGGGGGCAGCGGTACCGCTACTGCCCCCACCTCACGCGCTTCTTCGACGCGCTCCTCCCTCACGTCCTGCTGGGGCTGATCCAAGCCGCGCTGGCGGAGATGGGCGTGGAGCAGAACCCGGCCAAGGAGCTCATCCCTATGCCCGGGGAGGACGACGACGGCGAAGAGGAAGCCTTGAAGAAGAGGAAGCGGTGCCGATGATCCGGATGCAGATCGGGACTTTGTCGTGTTTCAAAGCGCGGAACGCGGGGAGTGCTCGTTGCTGTGCTGTTTCCTTCTTCAGTACTCAACAAGGCGAAGCTGATGCGCAGGCGATGGTCGATAGGGCGACCCGCTCGAGTGGCAGGCAATGCCCGTATATAGGACATAGGAAGAGTGGCCTGTGAAGGGTCCGTCTTGTGCATATAGTCTTTGTGCTTTGTCGCCGGTGGGTTGTGCACATGTACTTTAACTTGTTCGCGTGTGAACCTTACTTGTGCTGATATAACTCGGCCGGTATGGAAAATGCATACATTCATCACCACTTCGCTGCGCAACAGGTAACAAGCTACATATATGTGCAACCCTACGCTTTGAGCGCCTTCGCAGCCACTTCAGTGTCCTCCTTGATGTCCTTAATGAACTCTTCCTGCGCCGTGTGCTTCGGCGCCCAGCCCAACTCTTTCCGCAGCCTGTCTCCCTTGCTGCGTGTGTTGGCGGCGAAGAACGCCGCGTACTCCTCGCTCCCGTAGAACTTCACCTGCTCGTCTGCGGTCAGCGCGGCCGGCTCCGCCTCGCCGATCACCCCAAGCGCGACAAGGGCCTCCCCGATGACTTTGTGGACCTCGTAAGCGGTGTGCTCGGTGGCCTCGATCCAGAAGTAGCCCTCGCGCCCGTGCGAGACCTGCGCGGAGCCGAACAGCGCCGCGTCGAACAGGCGGTAGTACGCGTCCGCGTCTGCACGGGCGACGCCCCGAGGTCGCGGTCAGCAGCAATTCGCGGGCGCGACTCGAAGTAGAGCTGTACGCACTGTCGTCGATGTGCACGTACCCCCACGCGTTCGCGCCCTTCCCGATGATGCCCGGGCGGCCCTTCCTGGCAGCGGCCGCCGCCCATCTGGTCACGACGCCGGTGACCAGCGCGGAGATCGGGGCGGGCCCGTCGAAGAGCGGGCCGCGGGGACGTCCGTAAATGATAGCCGGGGCGATGATGAACGTCGTCGTGTACCCGTCTGCGTCCGCCTCGACCAGGAGCTTGTCGACGCGGGAGTTGATGATCGTCTTGGGAAGCTTGTCGATCGTGTCGAGGTCGTAATCGGAGGTGACGGTGGGCGAGAGGTACTCGCCAAGCGCGTTGTCGACCAGGACCGCGATGCCCCACTGTCTACGCAGAGGATGTTCAGCAGGGACGTTCGTAAGTTGTGGGCTACTGATGAGCGTACGGTGTGGAAGAAGAGGGGCTTCTTGCCCGTCTTGTCAAATCGCTGCTTGAGCCCGGCTAGGATGGCCTTCGTCGCGTCGAAAGCATTCGCGCTCGCCTGTGTGAGATGTGTATCAATACGCGTCACAAAGCTGCGCATAGATAGTGTGCGCCAGAACTCACGTTCTGGAAGACGACGTCCGCCTTCTCGCTGTACTCGGTCAGGAGGGCATCATCCTCGAGGGAGCCGAGGACGGTCTTGATACCAAGAGCTTTCTCGATCGCCTTCGCCTTAGTTTCATTGCGGACGAGGGCGGTGACCTCGAAGGTGTCTGCTTTCGGATGCGCAAGAATCGCCTGGAGGACGCTACCGCCGATGTATCCTGCGGGGGCGAACGACCATGTTCAGCACTCTCTGGGGAGGTTTCCTGAAGTGTAGATGCAGGCGAACGCCGCACGTACCCGTTGCCCCAATGTAGAAGATGGTGATCTTGGAGGACATCTTGTTCCTTGATTATGACTGGCAACCTTGCGTCAATGTCGGGGTGATCAAATGTCGTATGTCCTCAGACATTCATCCCAGGCTGTTATATATGTCCAGACATCAAGATTCAGGTCGCTACAGCCATCTGCTGAACTTTTAGCGACAAGTACTGTCATTCAACCAATCCTGATCAAACCACAGCTGCGAGCATGCTTGTGGCCGGGGATGAGGCTTCTTGCATTCGATGGCTGGCTTCGTGCGATTCGGGATTCATAAGGTCCGTGTATCGGGAATAGGTGGCTTCATCAGCAGACGGGATATTCTCCTTGGAAGAGGAGTCTGGACAGTGTTTGTTCCCCGACCTCGGAGAACGTTAGCAAGGGCATTAGAACACCTACTAGAGACTGTCCTCACCACTCTTAGATGTACCTGGGAGATACCGCGAAGCGAGGTTATTGCGCACAGTAGAGTCGAAGAGGTCGCTGTGACACGACTAAAGGACAACAACATTGGCACAAGTGCTGAGACAATTTCGTCAGTCAGACGCACTAGCTGGGAGGAGCAAGCATTGTTGCAGCCAATCGAGATTGCTTCGAAGATGTATACGACCAGCCACGAGATCATGCAAGATGACTTAAAAATGGTGATATTGGTGTCCGATTTGAACCCGCGTTCGTTCAGAGGCAGTTTACGCGGAAGATTTGCGCGGCGTGGTGGAGTCTCGTTGCGGCAGTTCCGAATTAGGATATCAGTACTTAGCATTCCGTGTAACGCGGACGGCGGGCGCTGATTACGTCTTGGATATTAGTATGACCATGCAGGAGAGTGAATGACTAAGCTGGGCTAACACGGGCCCAGTGCCTCAGGCCCCTTCAAGGATCTAACTCTGCAACTGCACGTCGTCATGCCTTGTCCAGTCCACGCTCGACCGCAGGTTCGAAGGGCCCACGAAACGCAGTAGTATATGCTCTGCAGTCTTGCTGCCAACATGTGACCAATGCCGAGAAACTCAGTCAGGTCCTTGGATAGAAGTTCTGTGGATAGTAGAATTACATTTCCCCGATTTGCGGGACGTCGTCGTTGACTTGTGACTGCGTCACCAAAGTGCACATACACCGGACATGGCCATGTGTTATTATGGGTGAGCTACTTTACGCTCCAGCAGCTGATATCGCTCTCAGCTCTCTCAACGCTCACGCAAACTCCAACATGCCCGACCGGTCCTCCAGACCCCGTACCAAATTGCATGCAAATTTTTACTGGGCCCAATTACAAGCGGGGGGGTCGCTTCTTCCGGATTTCCATGTGCTTCACAATACAAATTCAGCACATCATCGAAACAGAATTGACGTAGGAATCACCCACTCTGACCTCCCCTAGTATCTCATGTTAGGCGGCGCTAGCCAACGCCGCGCACATGACCAGTGCGAGCATCGCGCACGCTCTAGGGATCCTACTTGCCTTCCGCCACAACACCATTCTTTGGTGTGATACTGCAGAAAGGCGAAACTCAATCTCGAGTATGACTGGACCAGGGAAAATGATACGCTCAGCGTACTTCGCGTACTCAGGGACTATCCCATCAAAGCGTCCCGTGTTAAATGCAGGTGCGGGGATAGGTGGAAGCTCATCAACTGAAGGAATGCTCCTCTCCATGGCCATGTTCAAGGCAATACACCGGAATACACAGAGAACAGAACCTGCGGGCCAAAGATCGGCCGGTACACTTACCGGCGTTTTGGAGCGGCGTATTGCGTCTCGCGGCCATCAAGTCAGTGTCCGCAGTGAGTTCCACTCCACTCTACGCCCTTGCACGAATTCCCATGCATGCTGTCTTGCTTGTTTGTCGCGGTCTACATCTGTCTCACTACCGACGCACAGCGTGTCCCGCAAACCTCGAGTATCGCATGGGTGTGAAGCCGCCGTGTGAGGATCACGTACAAACTATTCCTTCGACGCTTCTCCGTCGAACGGTAGACCATCTACAACACAATGGGCCGAGCGAAGGCGGCGCGCGAGAGGCCACGCGCTCGTTACGGTAAGCTTCAGCGCTAGAAGCAGATGCAGCTAGTGGGATGTTACGGCGTGTTACGGCGTCCGGTATCTCTTCGTGGATCCAAGTGTGCTAATACCAGAGCAGGGGCAGTCAGCCCAGGCTGAGCCTCGGTATCTTTTTGCCAGGCCCCCCGAGCGAACGTTTCAGGAGCCTTTCGTATCCTAGTCCCACCGGGCATAGGCAGTCATTTTCGAGCCGCTGCCAAAACCGCGCTCTGAGCACTTCTGCATTGACTTCGGTCATGTAGGAATGCGCTTCTTTGACCATGGGTAAAGGGTATGGGTACCATTTCCCAGTCTAGTATCGGTTCTCATCGGATTTTCAGGTCTTCTTTCTGCAACTCATGCCGGCCGTATCTTCAGATGTCTCGAGCAAAGGAACTCCCCGATTGAGCAGGAGCGAGCACCAATTCTCTTCACCGCTACGGGGGATCCCGTGGGCGCTGTGGAACATCCTCGCTGTCGATTCTGATACCCGGAGAATCAAAAGGAAAGCTAGTCTTGGCGCACTATGTCATTGACAGCTCCTTGAGACCGCTGATGCGACGGTGTCGTTCAAGCTTCCGCTAGTCCAATTTCGTATGCTTGGCTTGCAGTGCAGGTACGCTCGTGATCTTGCCAAATCATGATATTATGTGGTGCACGCCTTGAGGCATGCCTAACGGCATCCTATGTTTCTCTGCTTGATGGTCATGTCCGTATGCGACTGCCCCAGAGTCGGAAAAATCCCGAATCAGGCTTCGCCGGGTGTACCACGGTTGTTCCCGTTTGCCACGCGCGTGTGCGAGTGGCGCTGCGGAGAAACCACGCAAGTCTAAACGCCTATTGACTGCGAACGCTCTCGCCCCAGGTTTGTCACCCTGCTATGTAGTAGCAAAGAGAACGAGCGGATTGCGACTGACCATGTCTCCCCGAAAACGTGGTCCTAGCATGCGAATCGGCCACGCGAACATTTGCACTTCGTCTTCGCGGTGTGAAGTCTCGATGTACCGTGTTCCCCGTTGTCTGCTTGGCCTGGCCTCAACACAACATGTTTGAGACACTTCCCCACGAAGTGTGCGCCCGTTTCCTTCGGACGTAGGTGGTGGGCTCGGTGGGAAAACCTCACGAACTAGAAATAGGTGAGTATCGTCGACCTCGTGAACCGCGCCATTCTCGCCATGGCAATCAAGCGTTCCCGGAGAGGGTTTCTCGGTAGCATTGACTTGAATGGTGACCTATCCGAGCTACCATCCAGGCGGCTACCTTACAACAATTGCAGCTCGTGCAATCAAAGGTAACAGGATCCGCAACAAAGTACTAGAAGTAGATGAGAGACATACAAATCAAGGGTGTAGAATATTGAATGCTCGCAGATTGCCTAGTCACACCTCTTTGGCAAGTGCGGCTCTTACCGTGTCCTTCCGAAACAGGCTTCACTCTTCCACCGAGCTGCGTTTCCGGCGACTCGCAGCATCCTCATCGGCTGACTCCGATGATGAGAAAGCTGCGAGTACTGCCCAGGCCTAAGGCCTAAGGTCCGAGGCCTGGTCTGCTGAATAGAGCTTCTGCTGCTGATTTGCAGGAAATGCGGTCGTACCCAGGTCAAAAACAGTCCATGCCCGAGGAAAACGGCCGAGTCGGTAATCACCGGGGACTGTTTCAAAAAATGGCTTGCTCAAAAAGGATATCGAGACGACAATGCGAGGGTGGTCGGTGCAATGATGACGGCGGGAGCACAGTCCACTCGGGCGTGCGCCCCTCAGCCTCAGCAGATACAAGTACCTTCGAAGTTCGTATTAGTGGCTGTCTAACACTACTTGTTAGGCACTACTTCCGCTTTCTCGTTTACGAAGAGCATTATTCTGCTACGGGGAAGGTAAGGTGCGAGTCCCGGTGCCACCTTCGAAGTGCTGATCGCACAACTTCGATCTTCTATATGCCCAAAATGCTCTGCAATCACAATGAATCTCACCAGCTCATTGGTGACTAGCTGGGCACTCGCGCTGTCAATTGCATACAAGACCGCTCGCTGAAGTGCCTGCGGACTACCCACCATGAGCAAGCAACTACCCTGGATGCCAGTGGCGTTACTGGAATCCCGAGATCTAGGATGGTTGAAGACAGTCAAACAACCTTCTGCATCCACAATGCAGACCATTTGGAACTGTACACCGCGTAAGAGGCGCATATAGTCACGCAGCTTCACCGAGGGCTTCCGCGGGCTCTACGACACCGCCACTGCCCACGACACCGCCGCGAAAGGGGCTCTTGAGAGTTCATGAGTGAGTGTTGTGTTACTTCATCTATGTCATACATGAGATACTGCTATACGCCCAGTCCCGTCTGTTCTGCGTCCAGATATGTCGTTGTACAAATTGTCAAGTATGATATATTGTGGTGATGCATGGGCGGTAATCCTACAGTGCATGAGTTGGGGGTATCTGACTACAGATTAGAGTTGCTGCTGAAACTAACTAGGAAGACGTCAGGTGAGCGTATTGACGCACCATGCATGGAAGATCCTTACTTGTACATTCATCCAAACAAGCCGTTCTCCGCGCTACTGGACAAGCTGCCAAGCAGTTTGTTCAAGTGGCGTGCCACAGCTCCAGCTCCCTCCTTCACCTTCTCCCGGTCGTCCTCTCGGACCTTCGGCAGCAACTTCGTCTCGAAACGATCGGGGTGCCACTTGCGCAAGTAGTCCTTGATCCGCTCACGCGGGGTCCTGTCCGCGGACTGGTGCGGCGAGAGGACGTACGCCTGGATCTCGATGTACGTCAACTGTTCAGGATCGTTCGGCTGCTTCAGCATTGGCCATGGGAATGAGTGCCAACTAAGTATATCGAGGGTAGGGATCCTGCTCCAGCGCTTCTCGTGCTCGTCGAACAACTTGATGACCTCTTCCTTGGTGAGCTGCCGCATAGCCTTCTGTTCGGAACGACGTTGCTGCGCCTCCTGCTCGCGCTGGAACTGCTCGAATTGTCGGCGTGCATGCTCCTCCTGACGACGTGCCCACTCCTCCTCACTCAGGGGCGCATTGGGCGTATGGGATGCAGTAGGTCTCGATGTGCTGTGCGATGACTGGGTATACGAACTGGCACTATAAGCGGTCTGATAGGCACCAGCCGAAGGTCTGCTGCTTGTCGTCGAGGTAGCCGTGGTCGGCTGAGGAGTAGCGGGGGATATAGGAGATTTCCAAGCACCGCGGGAGCTTGGCGTCCCTGGCGTACCGACCGGAGTCGCGCTGGAGGTTGGTGTAGCAGAAGCCCTACTCGAGGAACTGGTGTAACCGGTGGAGTTGGACCGCCCTGACGAAGCGGAGAAGAAACTTGCAGAACTGCTGAAGCTCGAGGACGATGCCGAGCTACTACGGTCGCCTGGAGCAGACGCACTGTGGTTGAAGGACGCGCTTGGGTTGGGTATGGGTCGAGGGGCGGACGAAGAGCTTGGAGAATAGTGCGGCCCGGGACGGCTGGTACTGGAATCAGATACACTGCCCACGCTATCCTGCCTCCGTCGACGCTCCTCCTGTTGTTGTTGCTGCTGCTGTTGCTGCTTGATATACTCCTCCTCTGAGCGACGTAGAGCCTCCTTGAGTACTGCGTCAGACTGCTGCTTCTGCTGTTCCTCCTTCCGTCGCAAGGCATCCTCGGCGCGCCTACGGGCTTCGAGCTCCCTCTGACGCCCCTCGTTCTCCGCCTGTGCTCGCCTGTACGCCTCTTCCTGCTCCCGAATGAACGCGGCCTGTTTCCTGGCATCCTCCTCCTCGCGCTTCCTGGCGAACTCGCGCTTCCTGGCCTCTTCTTCCTCGCGTTGCCTGGCAGCGCGTTCGCGGGCCTCGCGCTCACGGTGAGCTTGGATGCGCGCGAGCTCCGCTTCTTGCTCGCGGATGAAATGAGGATCCTGGAACTGGGAGAGCTCATCGTCGGGCTCAGATTGGGCATTTTCGCGCACACGCTGCGCTTCCGCGGCTTCCGCGACACGCACCCGCGTTGCCTCTGCGTCCACCTCGCGCTGTCTTGCTTCCTCCGCCTCACATTGCTTCCGAGCCGCCTCCACTTCGCGTTGCTGTCGCGCTGCCTCTGCCGCTCTCTGCTCGGCCATGGCCCTCTCCCATCGTTCTTCAGTCTCCCGTTGCTTCCGCCCGCCCGGCTCCCTCCGTCGTCGTGCTTCCTCCGCCTTCGGCCGCAGGACATCGGGACCTCGTCGCTGTTGCTCCTCGTCTGCCTGTTGCTGTTGTTCCTCGGTTGCGAGCTGTCGCTGCGCTTCGGCTTCGGCCTCTTTCTGCTGCTGCTCCCGAAGCTCTCGTTGTCGTTGGGCCTCGGTCTCGCGACGTCGAGCTTCTTCTCGTAGCCTCTGAGCCTCTGCCTCTCGTTGTCTCCGCGCTGCGTCCTCTTGCTGTCTCTGAGTCTCGAGTGCGGCGAGACGCTCGGCTTGTATCCGCTCGGCCTCGAGTCGAGCTTGCGCAGCCGCGGCCGCGGCGGCTTCCGCATCTCGCCTGCGAGTTTCCTCCCAAGCCTCCCTCTCTCGCGCGAACCGCTCCTCCTGTGAGCGCTGCCACTCCTCCCGTTCGCGCTTCTCCTTCTCCCTGCGCTCGCGTTCCTCCTCTCGCTTCGCCTTCTCCCGTTCCTGCCGCTCGCGCTCCTCCCTATCTCGTTTCTCCTTCTCCTTGCGCTCGCGTTCTTCCTTCTCCCGAAGCTCCTGCTCCTCCCGCTCGCGTCTCTCGCGTTCGGCCTTCTCGCGCCTCTCCTGCTCCCGACGCTCCCTTTCCTCTCTCTCTCGTCGATCCCTCTCTTCCTTCTCCCGCCTCTCGCGTTCCTCCCTCTCGCGTCTCTCGCGCTCCTCGCGCTCCTCCTTCTCCTTCTTTTCCCGTCTCTCCCGCTCCTCTCTCTCTCTCATCTCGCGCTCCTGTCTCTCCGCCTCTTCCTGCCGCCGCCGCTCCTCGGCCTCCCTCATCTGCTGTAGCGCGGCCTCGAGTTCCTCGCGCTTCCGGCGCTCCTCCTGCAGCTTCGCCTCCATCTCCCGGCGCAAGAGCTCCGCCTCACGCCGCGCGAGCTCCTCCTGTTTCTGCTGAATCTCCAGCGCCTTGAGCCGCACCTCCTCCTCCTTGCGACGCGCTTCGTCGGCCTTCCTCCTGGCCTCCTCCTCCTTCCTCCGTGCCTCCTCCTCCTTCCGCCTCGCCTCCTCTTCCTTCCTCCGGGCCTCCTCCTCGAGACGCTTGGCTTCGGCAGCCTTGCGCATGACCTCTTCACGCTCCTGATCCCGCACCAGCTTCCAAGTCAGCTGGTGCCTCTCGCGAAGCTCGGCGCGCTCGCGTAGGTGCCACAGGTCGTCGAGGTCGACCCCGTAGTCCTCCTCCGAGTCGCTGCCGGACGCGACAGACTGCTCCTCGAAGGTCGCGAGGGGACGCTGGGAGACGTCGGACGGGCCCCAGAACTCCTGCCGGGAAGAGTGGGAGCGAACGGATCGGGACCCGTTGCCGTTGGAGTTGCGCCGGCCGCTGACGCTCCCTGCGGGACTGCCGGCGTATCCCCGATAGCGGGGGCTGGAGCTGAACGGCAAGTCGTAGCCGGCGAACGGCAGGACGTTCGGCGGGCTCTGGGAGCCGTGCCACGCCCCAGAGGGGGAATGTCTCCGGGGATCGTCGTCTGCGGAAGACGGGCGCGGGATCGGTCGGCTGGACGAGGCGGTAGGCACCGAGGGCGGAGACTGGGGCCCGAATAGGTGGTGAGCGGGCGGACTGGGCTGCGCGGACCACGCGTCCGTCTCGCCGGGCAGAGACCGCCTCGAGGACGGGATCGGCCTGGCGGACGCGGGTTTCTGAGGGCCGTAGCGCATGTGCTCCGGGGAGCCTTGGTCGGACGTGTTGCTGCGGCGCGCGGCGCGTATCGGGATGCCTTCGCCGTCCTCGAAGCCGTTCGTGCGGTGGCGCGCGTTCTGCGGGCTGACCTGCGCGAAGGCTTGCTGGTCTTCGGGCGGTTGCGGGGCCGGGGGAGGTCGAGCGGACGGGACTAGCACTGGCATCTGCACGCGTGGGTCGGGACGGCGGGCGTAGATGTCGTGTACCAAAGTCTGCTGGGTGAACGAGGGCTGCCTGGAGCGCTCGGGACGCTCGGGCTCCTTGCCTTTGTGCGAGGAAGTGCGATCGTCGACGGGCAACCCGAACCGGTCGCGAGGGATAGGAGCAGACTCGAAGTCAGCGATGGGAGAGGGTCGGTCGGACGCTCGAAAGCTGCCGGCTCTCGAGACTGTCCTGCCGTGGTCGTTGGAGGGGTTCTCACGAGTGTTGGGGCTGACAGGCGAAACAGTAGGTGCAGCAGCGTGAGCGAAGGTACGAGAGGTAGAGGTTGACGGCAGGTCGTCTCTCGTGGACGTCGGAGGAAGCCAGATGTTCTGCGGCCTGGTCTTAGATAGAGAGCTAACGCCTCCCCGGCCAATCGATCCCTGGTCGTAGGGGGAGGGAGATGCATTGGTGTTGGTAGGGTCGAAGTCCGCGAAGACTGACGAGTTCCCGCGAGAACGGGCAGGGCGCGCACTGTAGCTTCCTGGAGTGCCTGCTATCTGCTCTGACCCACCGCTCTGGGTGCGATCTCGAGGACGCGCGTCTGGCCCGAACGGACCTCTAGCAAGCGGACGGGGTTCACGATGCGATGTGCTCGGCCCCTCTCTGGCGTCCTGCTCACCAGTCGCCCTAAGGGGCACAGCGGCGGGATCTTCGTTCGCCCTCGGTAGGGAGGCAACGGGCTCTCCATTCTCTTGATTGGAGTTCGAGACACTGGAATCTCGGCGACCCGCAGGCCCCTGCTGCCGCTCCGCCCCTCCTTTCTTAATCGTATCCCAGATCGCCTGCTGCCGCCTTTTGAACTCTTCGAATTCCTGCCCTTCGACCTCCTTGCCGAGAGCGAGCGACCGCTCGAATCGAGCGATCTTGAGCTCCTCGGTAAACTGGTCCTGTGCCAGGCGACGCACCCTGTCCATGGCGTAGTTGTAGCTCTTCATGACGTTCTCCCACTGCAGGGTGCCCTCGTGCACGCCTCGGAGCTGGGCGTCTCTGTCCTCGCGGGCCTTATCCACCATGGGCTGCAGAGTCTGCTCGATTCGCGCCCGAAGGCTCTCCTTCCACTGTGCGTCTGGTTCGACATCCTCGTCAATGTTGGGTGGGAGCGGTCCGACATTCTGCTCTGAGATGGGGGTAAGCAGCGTCGTCATAGGACGTTAGGCGGGGCGTATAGAGTGCGATGCACGAGAAAGTAGGACGATGTGGCGATAGGGAGCTCGAGGTACCGAGGGGGACCGAGCTGAGCGAGGGGGGATAGTGGATGTGTATGTGGGATATCTGGTGGCTGCAGTTGGGGGAACCTACGGTAGGCCTGGCCGCATAGAGATGAGGGAACACCTGAGCCGATCGGCCTCATGGTCAGTCCACGCATGCGAGCGTCGATGGAGCGCATCCGGCGACGTACTGATCCTCCTTGCCCAGCGGCGCGTTGGGCTTACCGGCAGGTAGCGTGGCGGAGAGACGAGAGACTGGTGACAGTCGAGAGGGAGTCGGGGGGCGAGGCGGCGGGCAGGAGGCCTCAAGCGTCGGAGAACGGACGCGGACGATGCAGCGCTTGGATCTTTATATCAACCGAGACTCTCTTCGCCCAACACGGCAGTCTCCTCGTTCCCGCCACGCACTGCGGGCGCATTCCTCTCAACGTGCCCCAGCCACGCTCCCTCCAACGCTGCGTGGCCTCGGCCGCTGACCTCATCCGGTAATATTTACATCTTGGAACGTTCTGATTTCGTCAGCTAGCCTGCCGTCGACGCTCTCCAGGCGGTCACGAGCTCTGCCTCCCCATGTCATCAATTTTTCTCCACACAAGAAACAGCCTTTACACATTAGTAGCGCCCATGAATATCTACTCCCTCCTCCAGCATGCCCAAGGACCCTCACGGAAGTCGTCAAGGTCTGCATAACTCGGTACGAACTCACAGTGAGGTCCTTCCATCACTTCTGTCGCGTAATCTCGTCCACATCCCACCAGCTCTTAAGCAGTGTGCGACGGATGCTGTGCATGCCCGTGTCAGGCCCATGGTAAGAGTGGTTGACATCGTTCATCATCTCCTCCGCAGTGCGCCTGTCTCCAGGCGCGAAGGGCTGATTCCACGCGGTGAAGAGGAACTCGTCTGGATCAGGGCACGAGTGCTGCGCACAATGGCGGTCAGCGCCTAGCATGTTTGGAGACGCGGCGGGCGACTTACTGCTGTGATTTCGTGCAGTTCGCGCTGGATCTGGAGACAGAACGAATCGAGGTCTGGCGGCGACCGGAGTCAGCGGCCGTGACGAAAATGGTCCGGGAATGGGCGGCTCACCGAGATCATTCAGGTCGTAGTTGAAGGGGTTCTCGCTATATGAAGATCGACGGTTTAGAGTGCAATTGGAAGATGGAAGCAAGGCACACGCACATCTCCTGACCTATCTCGAGGAAACCAAGGAGCAAGAATGACGCGAACGCGGTTCCACTTCAGGAGAGCATGAGCAAGGCAACGCTCCTCTAGTTTAGGAGGTGCTTACGGAATGGTGAGATATCCGAAGGAGCTCCAGACTTGGAACTGAAATGAATAATTGATCAGAATCTCGCTTGAAGGCACGCGAACACACAATGTAGAAGAAACTGCTAACTCACAGGGAGGAAGAATAGGTAGATCCAGAGCGAAATGCGCAGGTGCGCTTGATACGCAAACGGCAAAGGCGTGTTCCTAATGCGATCGAGGTTCGTCACAGTGTCTTGGAGAGACGAGATGGCCGTGACGAATGCAGAGGCTAGCGCAGGTTGCAGCTGGCCATTCTTCAACAGCCAAGCCAAGTAGTTCGAGAGGAACAGCGTAATCTCAAGCGGGACGTTCGAGTCGACGGCCTCGGGCCTGAGACGCTTCCCAGTAAAGCTGCGAGTCGCTGCGCTTGCGCTTGTCGGCAGTTCGGGTTTTGGCTTGGAGCGGCGCAATGGTGCGACGAGGATCTTGAAGACGCGAAGGAAGGGGAGATAGTCGAAGATGGACTCCTTCGGCGGGTTGCGCGCGGGCTGGAGCGGGTGCTCGCTGTACACGACTGGGAGCGCCATCTCGGGGTCGAACTTCCTCGCTTTCTTCAGAGCCTCGCGCGAGCGACCGCGCAGGGAGTGGTAGATTTGGTCTTCGGAGATCTGGCCGAGCTCCTTTTCGGGCTCCGGGCTGCCTTCGTTCGCAGTGCCGCTGCGCGAGAGGGGTCGCGAGGACGTGAGCGTGTGCGCTGCCCGGTGCTTCTGAGCGTCCATGGCAGAGGCTCGCCACATGGGGAGCATGTCTTCCTCGCTGGCGTTCTCTGGAGCGTGCGAGGCGTAGCGGGGCAGGAAGCAGACGAGGGGATAGAGGTCCTCGTAATAGACACCGGCCTCTCCGCGAAGCAAGTGCTGGCACAGCGCTCATCAGCGTCGGCCTTAACAACTTCAGCGAGTACTGGAACTACCTTCACAGACACGGCATACGCCTGAACGAGGTTGATCATACTCTTCTTTTCGATGACGACTTCGAGGTTCGACCTCCGCTGACCGGTTTTCTTGTCGATGCGCTCAAAAGGAACGTGTATCCAGATCTGGGAAGAAATGATGTCCAAGTAGTGAGATCACCAACATTCGAAGTACTCTCCGAGGGCACCACCAGCTACAGAAACTCACAACTTGGGCAATATTACGGGAAGCGAGGGCGATAGCCGTCCATAGCTTCCTTCCTTCCATGTAGCTAGATTGCCATTATATATATCGTCAGTCTCATGTGTATAGATACCATCTTGGGGACGACGGTCACGAAACTGCAGACTGACCGTTCATACGCAGAAGATGTTCGGAAAGAGATGACTAGACCGAGTACCGTACCCAGCACGGTGAGCATCGCGCTTGAGAAGGATAGTTTGTGCGACGTCAGGTCCGAGACAAGCGATACCACTGCAGGTCAAACCGCCATATTTAGTGCCACGTTTCGGAGACGTGAACAGAGATGTGGGCTCTGGATGTGGGACCCAAGCGTTCACGTACTTGCGGCAACGCCTGAGAAGAATAGCACCTCGGGCCAGATGTCATTTATGACAGTGGCCTTGAACTTCCTCAAGCTCCAGCTGGCGAAGAGGGGATTATGCGCGACCATCTCAGTGGGTCGTATGACTTGGCAAACGAAATTGTGGCGTCAAGCGCAGGGTGAAGTGAAGGATGCAGCAAAGACAGGCAGACCAAACCCAGCTGTAGGACAAGCAACCGACCGCCAGAGAACTGATTCGGGTAGTAGCAGAAGCCCCAGCCTGCCTCAGAACAGAACGAGAAGGGAGGTCGAAGAAAAGGAAATTGGTGGGCGTGGGCGTGGCATCCTGTGAGAGCTCATATGTAGAATGAAACCTGATGAGCGCCATGATTCTGGGCTTCGTTGTTCCAGAACTCAATCCAGTCACAAAACGGAAGGCAGCAGCTTAAGGACGGTCAGGAGGCAATGCGATCACGACACATTCGGGCGGCCTATTGTGATGCCCCGGAGGATGAGGAGATTGGTCTGAGTGGCGGAGTTCTAATCGGCCGAAGTTCTTGAGGCAGGAACGGGCTGGGTATTTGAAGCGCCGATGGAAGGCCTTGTGTAGGCGGAAAGCGGCTTCTAGACGTCGGAAGCCTAGGCCCTGCGTACGGGCGTAACGGTCTTATTTGCAGGAGATTGTTTCATCCAGTTGCATAGAAACAACAAGGAGGTCAAATGGCGGAGTTCGAGAAACGGACACCGGCTCAAGCCCGAGCTGCGTGAGATTGGATGTAATACGTGATGAGACTTCTCAGTGGGCGAGCGCTGCGAGCAACGAACGAGTAAACTCACTCCTTCTGCTCCATAGGTAGAGCTTCGAAGACGAGGAACTTACGTCGAAGAATAACAGTGGATTTCTTGATTTGCTCCTTTTCGGTCGGCGGACCAATGGACATTGGTGGAGAACGAGCGAGGCGCCAATTCAAACCCGCTGGCCAAAAGACTCTAATTGACAAGTGGTGTGCCGTATGGAGTGTGAGAGCTCCTAGTTTTTGAATCGATGCGGACAAAAGAAATGCGATGGTGGAGTGGAGGCATCAGACATCCACGGGCATGTAGGCATTGCAAATCTTACACGAGGCTGGGGCGTCCGCGATGAGCGCCGTTGGAGAAGATGTAGTAGCACCGCATTCAACACTCGACGCCGGTAGCTCGCCGCCCTGGTGACCATTCAAGACATGGAACCGCGTCAGCTGGACCTCAGCAAGCACTCATCTAGATGTGTAGGTGCGGCCATCCCGCTGTCATGATCTTGCTCACTCCAGGCGAGCACTGGACAGCCTGTCTAGCCTGACGCAGAGGTGCTTGCGCAATGCGGACAAGCCCCGTCTCGGGCCTTAAGCGTCGTGAATGGTACATACGTCATAGCAATGGCACGCAACTCGAAATTGACCGACCACAAATGCAATCGGCCCACTACGAGGCAGATCCTGGGGCCTGGGGTTGGTATTCCTGCATCCCAGTCCACCGTTGAGTAAGTGACGCGGTAGTTGCTTAGGTGACGCCGATAACGAGGTGTTCGTGGATAGATGCGGACGGATGCAATAAAATTGATGAACGGCAGCGATTGACAGGTCATGCGAATATGCAATGAGCAGTATTCTTTCCGCTGTGCTGTCAGATGGTTACAACATCACTAGGGGAGTGCTGTCCCAGCGTTGATCGCGTTCGCAACTTGGCTCGTATTCGGGCGGTTAAAGGCGTATCTGGCGCTACACGTCAATTGCATCCACTACTAGCGTGAGGATCGACACCTGACCTTTCGTAGCTGTCCGAATACAGTTGGTCCGTGCTAGTGGTTCGCTTCACCGCAGGATGGGCGAGAAGCCTCTCGACATAGCCCTGGAATTCTTTGCTTTCCGGCCAGACAAACCCGCGGTAGTGCTTCAAAACATTGGTAGCGCGGAGTATCCCTTGATGGCAAAGGTAAGCGACCCGTAACTCACCGAACGATTGGACATATACTGACACGGGGCGACCATGACATCTGCGTAGCTCAGCGATCCGCGGGCGTTCCACAACCCATATTCAGTGTAACCTTCGTTTTCGGCCCTCTTGAAGAGAGTGACGAGGCCCTCTATTGCCTCGATAAAACCCTTTGCGCCTTCGATTTGTTTGTCTACCGGAAGACGACTATGGTGAGCATTCCTTGAAAAGCAGACGGAGGAGCGGGGACAAGCCAATGAACGCTTAAACTCACCTTCTTCCTGCGCCTGAAGGTATCGATAGAAAGCGGGGACCAGCGTGCGCTCGATTGTGTCGGCCTGCAGGCGTACCAGAGCTCGTGCGTCTAGAATGGACCACAAGCGGAGCAGTGTAGGGTGAAGGTATCGAATGTTAGGACCAAAAGGTAGCCACACGTTGCTGAAGCGTTGATGCGGACTTACAGGGGTCCGATGCCGGAGGAAAGAGGCTCTCCGTGGTATGCGAGGAGCGCTTTACATTGCTTACAGCCAGCCTGTGTCCCCGCGCAGCGGAGAGGAACCGAACACGTCCTTAGCAGTCACGGTGTTAGGACATTCATGGGACAAAGGGACTTACTCTTCGAGGAAATCGACGATGACGGTACTCTCGTTGAGAGCCTTCGGCGGGTTGTGAGCGTTCAATCTGAGCGCGGGGACCAACCCCTTGGGCGAGAGTTCGAGGAGCTCCGCGGGCTTCTTGTAAGGGTCCACCTCGTCTGCGGGCCTTCTATCAGTGCATCGCCGTATGGGCCCAACGTGGAGGGATAAGCATCGGACGCTCACAGTACTACAGACGAATGACTGATGAGCAATCCCGGCCTAGAATCTCTCCGACATTGCTTACCTCGTAATCTATACCAAGGTGCTCGAGTGCTATCCAAACCCTCTGCACAAAGGGACAGAAGCAGCTGCCGAACAAGGTAATGGCCTCCTTGCTGGAGTGCGCTCGGGCGGTCTCCGCAGCGTCCCCGGTACATTGCAAGTGATATGATCTGCCGGAGTCGTGTAGCTTCTCAGGCATGTTGGTGCAGCTTGTAAAGTGGGGTGATCCAATTGCAGAGGGTTTATGAAGGGTCGTAGGTCCGGAGTAGATGCTTGGTCACGATGACATCAGCGTGCGATTCGGAGCCCCATTTGACCGCACGCATGTGTTGTCCCAAGGCTCTCTCTGCGGAGTCATTCGACATCAACAAGAGTCCAGTTTATGAGTGATTATACACACAAAGAGATCGGTTGTGGTTGGTCACTTGATGCTCTCGTATGGGGAACGGGAATTCGACGAGGAAATGAGTACCCAGAAGGTATGCTCCATGGACGTCAGGCGCCGTTGAAAGTGATGGCACGTTGATACCTGCAAGGAAGTACAGAAACAGGACTTTGAATAGTATCAAGATATGCCAGAGACATGACCGAGTGGTACTGCTCCGAAAGTCTGCGGTTGCCGCGAAATACGGATCGTCTATGGGCGTCTATGTCTTCTCAGAGCTCGGGCCGAACCGCCGGTTCGTTGAGCCGCAGAATTAAGTACTTAGACGCCCCATGTCATGTCGTGCTCACTGCTCAGCTTGCCGACTCGTATATGCCTTCTTCCCTCCCTCCTGCATCGATGTAAGCAGATTGGATGCATACCTTCTGGGAGCACAAACCTGTCCCAACGCACAACGACCTCATGGTATGACGTCGATGCTGAGCGATTCGATGAATCGTCCTATTCAAACTCAGGCTTATGACACACTTCTCAGCCAAGAGCAGCAGCCCCTGCAGACGTCTTCCTGGACGTCCTCGACACTCCCATTCCATGTATTCGGTGCCGGATGCAGTCGCCCCAACGCTGTCCAACACGGAGCTTCTCCCCCGAGTACGCATACGAACGACACGAAGTCTCGCGGCGTGCCGAGAGCACAAGAACGCGCAGAAGACAAACCGTCTCGCAAGGCACAGACGACATTCGTCGATGATTGGGAGACGGCTACTGACGGTGCGCTCAAGCCCTCCCCTCCTTGCGTCACTGGCACGCCGCCCCCATAACCGTCTGCGCTGATCCCCGCGGGTGCATTGGCAATAGGAACGCCCGACCAGCTGACGCACTCGTGGACGTGCACGTCTCTGTTCCCGACACGTCTCTCACTTCTGCGTGAAGGCATGTGAAGGCTCGGGCCCTGCAGCTGGGCGCGCAGAGGGCACGGACGAGCCCGCTCGACGGTACGCGTGCGGCGTGCAGTTGGACTATTGCCAGTGGCCTGCGTGCTATAGTACCAGTGCGCACCCTCGGAGAACCTGCCGGCATCGCTGTACATTCGACGCGTTCGCTTCCGTGTTCACTAGGTGCCCGATGACCCTGATCTGACGTATGGTGCCCCGGGAGGGCCTCAAGTGTGCTATAACGGTGCTAGCGCGTCGACATGGTATGTGAAAGCCTGCCGTGTTTGAGTGCAGCACCCTCGATCCCTGCAGGACTCAGGTGCGCATCGCGTTGATCATGAGGTAGGTCTCGAAGCATGTTTGAGAGGTATGACGACGTCGTGCCTATGGCGCTCTGGACCTCTGCAATGCCTGGGGTGCCGAGACTCTGAAGCGAAGCCCTATGGCGAGGCGAGTACTGGCCCAGCTACCTGCGAGGCATGGGTCTGGCATACACGTCCGGGATCACGTTGCTGCGTCAGGCCCTGGTCTCTATCTGACGAATCATCACATGGAGAGCAAGCCAGACGGCCTGGCAGGCTCACAAAAGTGCAACACCTCCAAGGAGGAGCTGAACAGGCCCAATATAAGTTAGCACAACTATGTCAGCGGAACCGCGCGCATCCCGTCCCCGGACTTGCGGAAATGAACTCGGCGGAGCACTGTGCGCACCCCGGGAAGGCAGCTGTCATCTAAAGCTTAACTTAATACTCATAATACTAATACGAACGCCCACGACCGCGCCGCGCGCGCCCGAGATGATTCGGAGTGCTTAACGCGTGACTTGTGGCTGCATCGATATACGACCCCAAATACGCACCATACTATAGGACGCACGAGATTGCTGGGCGCGGCGTTGCTGGGCGCGCCGCGCCCAACAAGTCACCGGGGCAGCATAATCGGACGGCTGAGATAGGAGGGAGTGGACAGCGACAGCGCGATTGAGCTTGATATGGGAGCCCCGTCCTTACTTGTCCATATACATACCGGCGGTGCCCGTCACACTCCTGCACAACGGGTGCCTTGTCATCGATGGCAGATGCGGGCGATGGTCGATGAAGGGATGGATGCTATCTATCGATTGCACGAAATGGAAGATGTCCGTTCAGAGAAAGGGGCCCAGCATCGTGCGTCTCGTCGTCCTCGCGCGAACAAGGACGCGGATCACAAACGTGCAACAGTGGCAAGGCAAAGTACGGAGTGGAGATCGAAGAGGGACAGCGGAGTACAGAGACGAGAGGCATACACGGTAAGGAGGTGGACAGAGCGCGTGCGTGTGCTACAGAACAATGGGACTACTTCACAATATGTACAATCGCAAACAACCGGGAACCCGACGTCGTACGAGGCAGAAGCGCAGGTCGCGAGAGCCCTGGCAGAGTCGAACCCGAACCCAAACCCAGGAGAGAGTGCGCAAATCAGTTGATTTTGAGCAGCTCGACCTCGAACTGGAGGGTCGAATTAGGGGGAATCACCGGTGGGAAGCCCCGCGCGCCGTACGCCTGAGAGAGCGGGGAGAAGGGGGATCAATACATTGATTCACTCATCGATGTGTCCAGATCAGAAGGTGGGAGACGCGGAGCGAGCGAGAGAAGCGCGAGAAGCGGCGAACGTAGAACACAATTCATGAGACGCGAACTCACGTAGTCTGGCGTCGCGGTGAGGACGGCCTTCGCACCCAGGGACAGTTGTGGAACACCTATCACCGCGACGGGGAAGCGATCAGCGGCGATGCGGGGGCGTTCTCGAACGAGAAAGCCGTACCCTCGTCCCAGCCCTTGATAACCTTGCCCACGCCAATCTCGGTCTCGAACGGCGTCCCACTGTAGGGCGCAAGTGAGCACACAACATCTTTGCAGTGCAAGGGACGCGATAACGCACCGATCCCTAGAGGAATCGAACTTCTGGCCATCGAGGAGCGTGCCGACATAGTGTATCGTGACCCTATCTGCGCAAAGGGAGAACGCGATCTCAACAAACAATCGGTGAGGACAGATGAAAGGGGGGATTCTCACCGCCCTTGCGGGGGTAGGTCTTCTCGTCTCCGGGAGAGATGATCTGAACGGTGACACCCTGTGTAAAGGCGTGCACGTTGAGCACGGGGCTATGAGTGCAGACGGAGGAGCAGAGTACTGACCATGGTCGCGGCAGGAGATGGACGATTATGGCGATAATCAAGGAGGCGTAGGGAGCGCGTCCAGGCGGTGTGGCTACGCACTTATACTAGTACGGGGAGAGAGGGCGGATCTTGATCCGATCTAGCGTCATCCGGCATCCACCTGCGATCTCGCGAGCGGACGCGGGCCTGCCTCTCTGTGAGACTCTGTCTAGAACGTCGCTTTATCGATGTCGATGGCTCGTACGAACCCCGTATACTTGGTGCTTCACCGTCTCCTCTGTTCAGCCGCCGGGTCACCGGACGCGTTCTCATTCCCTCTCTCTCTCTCCATCCGCACGGCGCACAGTGCACGAAGACGTCCATGTCACGACACAGCCGTCCGGACACCGCCAGCTGCGTTCCACATCCGCCAGCTCTCGATAGCACGCGTCGCACTGCTGATGCCTCTGCTGCCGCGAGGATTCGGGGGTTCAGATCGTCTTTGGCCAGATTGCCATCCGATAGTCCATCTGCTGCGAACCTAGCTCGCTGCCAGCCACCCCCGCGTCGTGATAGAACGAACGGAAGGCCCTGGGATGACGCGACCCGGACGCCTCGAGACTCGAACGCGAAGGCGCTCGCTTCCTCTTCCTCCACGATCGCCCTCCGTCCTCCGTACGTACCGTATCTCGTCCACTTCGAGCGCACAGCGTTCTCTATAGCACACGTGTGTGCCGCTCGCATCCGTCGCTGTGCCGTCGTACGTACCTGCAGTCCTTCCCGGCGGCTTGCCAACTGTATACGCACCACCGCGCGCTGCCGCGAAGAACCACCGTGCAGTTATCACGCCACCACGCAGCGCAAAAATGTCTGCATATCGAAAGAGGCATCACGAATCCGCGCACGATCGGCCTCTGCGGGTCTTGTGACGCCCCGGGCGCATACGAGTGTGGCTAGTCGCGGACGCAAGGGTCCGCATTCGACGTATGGACGTTCCCCGTGCGAGCAGAAGCCGTCCGTTATCCCAAGGCCGTATCCTTGGGTCAGAACTCTATCAGAACCCGCGTATCGATGGCCTGTCGATGTACGCTGAGAGTGCTAGTGGTCAATGTCCAAGAGAGCGGGCGGAGGCGTACGGCAGGGATTGGAAGTCGAGAAGCGGCGTACGATATCCCAACAGACACGATACGGAGAAGCTAAGCGTGCACTCCGCCCGGAATGGAAGGCACAAGGGCCGGTTAGGAACGCTCGTATCGCGATGTGTAAATACTAAATATTTTCTAGGGAAACTCCTCGCCAGGTGAGCGGAGCCACGTTCAGAGTCCGCCCCAGCTGATTGCCAGCAGGAGCGCACGGATAAGTCCAGACGAGTAAGCAACAAACTCGTCGATCGCCGACGCAAGAGCTCGGAAGTAAAACATGCGCGTAGAGAGCATCCTGCGCTATGTTGACACATAGCACACGATACGTTACGGCTGCTACGCCAGCATGACTGCGAACGCGAGGGGACAGTATCCGCGACTGAAAGCAACGGGCGAGCTGTCCGCGGGAACGTCTCGTGTCTCTTGTCTCGCGTCCCGCGACCCTGATAGATACATCATCCGAAACTGGGGTGCCAATGTCCCCGCGGTCCAGACCGTCAAACAGCTCGCAGGCGGCGCTGCCGGACCTGGCCACACCCAGCGAGCAAGTCACGGTGCACGGTTGGGGCGTAGGCCGGGGAAGAGGCACCCGCAGGAACCTGCGACTGCGAGTACACCCATGCGCATCTGATACAATCTGTATGAGATTGATGATCGGTGGCCGCACTTCTGTCGAACGCCTTCTCTGCGCACAGGGCGTCCCTCTGACCTCATCGGCCTTCTCCCCCCACGGGGACGGGACGGACCTGCCTGCGAAGGGGAAGGGGTAACTGAAGAGGATCCGAGAGGACGACGCCGAGCGCCGAGCGGCTCGACGAAGCTGAGCGGTTGGCCACGACGCGGGATCTTCGCTAATGCTAAATGGCAATCGACGCGGGGAGAGCAGAGTAGGCTTTGATCGACCCACGGCCGGCTTCTCTGCTCGCCCCCGTGCGTCGTTCTCCCTGCCATCGATTGTCGCAGCGAGCTCGATTCCGTTTGGGCGTCCGGGACTGCACGGCCTTCTCCGAACAGAACGCGCACGCGGCCGTTTCGAGGAGTATTCCCCGGGCGAGAAGGGCCAGCACGATTGGCCGCTGCGTTGGATGAGCGCAGGAGATAGGAGTATTACCGCGAGGTGCTAACTCGAGATGGCCATATTGTGCGCGATCGGCAACCTGGTACGTAAAGCCGGATGCAGGGAGGCAACATGTAGAAAGCGACATACCATACGCGGTGCCCTCGGCGTCGTCGAGCGATGCATTGCGGGTGCAGTCCCAGCGAGGTCCGACTAAGGTCAATACGCGTCGCAGAAGCCTCGGACGTCGTACGATAGAAGCCGGAGCAGCACGCGTTCAAGGCGTGGCGATAGCGAGAGCCTAGGCAAGAGCATTGGTGGCTAGGCGGCTGATTTCACGGCGGCGAGGAAGTCGTCATTCTAGCGAGAGGTAGGGGTTGCTGATAGGAAGACGTGTAGCCAGAAGAAGAGACCAACCAGCAAATCTCGTGGTGACGGAACGCCCGTCGTCCATGTTTCCTAGGAACTCGGCAGACCGAATGCCGAGTCAACGCCACGCCAGGGTGTCCAGAAGGCGTGGACAGGGGGGTCGGTCCGTTAGGAGACACCTGGTCGACAGAAATCGCCGTAGTCGCGGCCGCAACGTGTCGCGAACACTCGATGTCAGGTTCTAGACGTCAGCTCAGATAGGCTTGATTTAGGATGCATGTTCGTCGGAGAGAATGCATGCAAGGATTTGCGGGCAAGCGACCGGACTTGCGACCGGACTTGAGAAGAGGGTGGATCCGTCCTCAGCGAAGGATGACTCCTGGACGAGGTGAGAAGGGAAGGTGGAACATGATCTTCTGGTGCGCGAATCGATGCACCTTCAAAAATCCAAAATCCAGACCTCGAAGCGCCCCCTCGGCATTCGGGAGGCGACGCCAGCAATCTTGACCTGAGGGACAGGAACGGTCGGACCGTGAAGAGGTGTTAGCCTATGCACTACCGTGCGAGTGGTCTAGGTCAAGTCTATGGCATAGGCGAGCATCGAGGGTGAGAATGTGAGACGCTCGCACCGCGGATGGGTGGACCGGGTTGTGTATCCACGCGCAAGAAGTGCGCGGCGGACAAATAATTTCGGCTATGAAGCCAGCTCTTCGATGTAGAGCCGAAGCACAGCTTCTCAAACGTTGTTTGCGCATAGACGGACCGTGCAGGTTCTAGACAGAGCTGCGCGCGTGGTCTTGGAGCTGGACTACGAGTGGAAGGTCGTGCATCCGTCTGTCATGGTGGAAAAAAGACGACGTGCTGCGCGCCGCGGGCCACTTCGGTAACAACCCGAGCCTATAGGGTGCATGGCACATTTTGACACGAAGAGGAGTGGTTTGCAAAGAGCCTTACTCACCGAGAGCCTTGGCGACTCCGCGCGCAGTCTGGCGTCGCGGCATCCGCATGCATTTCATGTCGCTTCTCGGGCGACTTCCCATCTGCGGGACGGGGCCGAAGCCCTGAGTGTCAAGATATAATGCTATAAGAGCCAAGCAGGAGTGCAGCGCAGCAGGATAGACGGTATGCGCGACCAGGCGGTGCAGTACAGGACGGCGCAGTGGGCGGAGGCAAGAGTGGCTGGGCAGGTGTCGGCGGTCGCGGCTGTTTGTGCATATATCCGGCAACGACGTCAGCGGCCGTGGCTCACGCTTCCGCTCGTCCATCTCTCTGCCATCTACCCCATCATCTCCCTTTGTAACCAGCCATGGATGCCTTCAGATTGCGCAAGAAATATCCAGAGGTCTCAAACGACGAGATGCTCGACATGATCAATCGCTTCAAGTACGTGCGCGCGCTGTGGTGCGGAGAATGATGGCGCATCTTGATCGCGCATTCTTCGTAGTGCGATATCGACCGACACCCCCGGGCGTGTCGACAAGCAGCGCGTGCTGCAATCGCTACAGGCCAACGGAGAGTCGTACGATCGTGCGCGAGAGGTCTTGAAGCACGTAAGCGTCGACTCGAGTGGCAAGGTCGAGCTTGAGGACTGGGTCGAGGTGCGCACATCCCTATGGACCTTGGCGAGACGCCTTTGGGAATACTGATAACTTGAACGTCACCATAGCTCAACGTGAAGCTTCGGAGTGAAACGAAGGATGCGCTGCTTCCTTCAAGAGCAGGCAAAGTCACAGTCCACGGTTCTAACGCCAACGTCAGCCATACAATCAACGAAGACGAACGCGCTGAGTTCACCAATCATATCAATGCTGTGAGTACATCGGTCCCTATGCTATTACAAATACAGGGAAACGCAAGGAGGACAGTTGCTGTTTTAGGGGGAAAGCGATCAAACAGCTTCCCTCGAGCTATCTGCCCCACAGTATGGACGGGTCCACGCTATGGAGATTTTCTTCGCAGTAAAAGAGGCATGTTGAGTCGCAAGCGCGTCGGATTCGCGGTCGAACCCCGTACTATCTCCACATGTCTTTTCGCCAGATTTCTCCTCGCCGAACCTGCTATATGACGTTTCCACATCTCTTTTGTCCAAGAACTGATGCAGAATCGACTGCAGGTTCTCGAGGGAGACCCTGATATCGGACACCGGCTCCCAATTCCGACCAACACAATGCAACTCTTCGACGAGTGCAGGGACGGTCTCATCCTCTGTAAACTCATTAACGACTCCGTACCAGACACCATCGATGTCCGTGTCCTGAACAAGCCCACGGCGAAGAAGCCGCTCAACGCCTTCCAAATGACCGAGAACAACAACATTGTCATCACGTCCGCCAAGGCTATTGGTTGCTCCGTCGTCAACATCGGTCCGACTGATCTTGCGGAGGGGCGAGAGCACCTCATTCTCGGTCTCATCTGGCAGGTTATCCGTCGAGGACTGCTCGCGCAAGTCGATATCAAGCTGCACCCGGAGTTGTACCGCCTGTGCGAGGAGGGCGAGACGATCGAGGACCTGCTTCGGTTGACGCCTGATCAGATCCTCCTGAGATGGTTCAACTACCATTTGAAAGCGGCTGGCTGGAAGCGACGGTGCGCCATTTGCCGCGATGACACTAGTGCGGAGGCTTATCTTCATGACCGTATAGAGTAAACAACTTCAGCCGAGACGTGTCCGACGGAGAGAACTACACTGTGCTGCTCAACCAGCTCGTTCCGGACAAATGCTCTCTGGCCCCACTTCAGGCGCGCGACGTCCGTCAACGTGCAGAGCAGGCGAGTTGGCCTCCACTACCTGATCAACAGTCATAGTTCTGACTATTCGCGCAGGTGCTGCAAAACGCAGACGCGATTGGCTGCCGCAAATACCTCACGCCCCCGTCTCTCATCTCCGGTAACCCGCGACTGAACCTTGCCTTCGTCGCGAACCTCTTCAACAATTATCCTGGCCTTGCGCCGCTTGATGAGCAAGAGGCGAAGGACTATGGTGTTGTCGAGGACTTCGACGCCGAAGGCGAGCGCGAAGCGCGAGTCTTCACGCTTTGGCTCAACTCGCTCGGCGTCGAGCCCGCAGTATTCAACCTCTTCGAGAACCTCAGGGACGGTGTTGTGATCCTTCAGGCCTTCGATAAGATCATGCCTGGCTCCGTCGTGTGGCGTCGCGTCAGCAAGCCCAAGGCGGGTGCGCAGCAGGAAACATACACTAACGCGGACGGGGAAGAAGAGGACATCGGCGTCACTCCCAACCAGTCGAAGCTGTCGCGTTTCAAGCAGGTGGAGAATTGCAACTACGTCGTGGACCTCGGCAAGCAGAGCGGCATGACGCTGGTTGGCATCCAGGGATCGGATATCGTCGACGGCAACAAGACACTTGTCCTCGGTCTCGTATGGCAACTCATGCGGTAAGTGATCTTGGGTCAGTGCACTGAGAGAGATGGTGCTGACGACGCTGCAGGAAAAACATCACTCAGACGCTCAGCTCGGTCTCGAAGGCGAGCCATGGGCGCCCGGTCAGCGATACAGAGATCCTGAAGTGGGCAAACACGACGGCGCAGCGGGCCAAGCCTGGTGTGCGCCCCATCAGGTCGTTCAAGGACCCGGCGCTCACGACCGGTCTCTTCCTTCTCGACCTACTCGAGGCGCTCCGTCCGGGTATCGTTGACCCGACGCTCATAATCAACGTCAACGAGAACAGTGACTACGAGGATCGCAAGCAGAATGGTAAGCCGCTTTTGCCTGTTGTGCGACGAGAAAGAGGGCTGATCTCCTGCGCGCGCTTTTATAGCCAAGCTCGCGATTTCTATTGCACGAAAGTTGAACGCGCTCATCTTCCTGGTACCCGAGGATATTGTCGACGTCCGCCCTCGTTTGGTCAGTTCCCTTCTTCTGCTTTTTGAGCTGAGCCTCCTCCGTATTGACGCCGCTCGGTAGATCATGACCTTCGTTGGCAGTCTGATGGCTCTCGACAAGCAGTAAATTCCGAATGCCGAAGATGCATGTTTATCCTTCTGTCTCCTCTAACGTTGAATATTCTAGTCTGCTGCTGGTTGACGTTCACCTCTATATTTTTTCGGTTATCTGTTTGGACTTGCGGTAGCGTTATGCCGTGTCTGTTGTAATGGAGGAAAGCAGTAAGTCGAAGAAAGGCTCCTTGTATAACCCTACCGATGAAAAGATCATTGAGTCCAGTTCAATCCCCATGAAAATGCGTGCCACTTTGCACTGTGGAAACGAATGATGCTCTTCAGAGCGTAGTAAAGTAGTTCATCAGGGAATCGAACTCCGGCATCTGCCTGTTCAAGTAAATATAGACCCTGCGTTAAACCCCATGATCCTAGTGCGTCTCGAGGCGTACGGTGGTTTGGTGAGTTGCTGTCCTGCTTCTATCACGGCAGGCACGGGCCAGATTCTTGTGCGAAGAAAGGCGAGAGAAACTCGGGACAGTCTTAACTTCGCCCGGAAACATGGCATCTATACCACATCACGCAAATTGTTAACTTTCTTTACGCCTTTCTGAAAATTGAACCTGAGAGAAAACTACGCCTTTCCTGCACGCTCACCCCGTCAGAGAAAATCTCCGGGAAGGGTCAGCTTTCACAGACTGAGCGCCAGAAAACCTTTGTGAAAGCTGACTATTGCGCCCCTTGCTCCACTCTGGCGAGTGGCACTCCAAAGTTGTTATGTTGTATGAGAAGAAACCTATGATATTTTTCTGTGAAACTCACTGTGAAATTCATCCTACACTTCTGGGAGAAATGGAGGAGATTTCAGCTGTTCAAGTTAGGACTGTCCCGGAAAATCTCTTTCATTTCACAGGGTTGGATTACGCGCCCTGCCTGTCGTGTATGCTATTCGCCATGGAAGAATGTATGAAGACCGTCACTACACATCATCTAGAAGTGAGAACTAATTGGTGCAAGCGCTCCTTCTCTTTGCAGCATTTCGCCACTCGCTAGCTACCAGTCCTGTTCCACAGTGTCGCTTTGGAGGTGCAAGTACCCAATGTTTGTTAGACAGTTTCTGCAAGGCTTTTCTATACTACCTTTGGGAAGCCAACCCCTAACAAAAGGAGTGGAGTCGTAATTCGTATTGTTCTACATGGATGGTCCGAGACGAGCATGAGTGGCTCAATGTCTCACCTCGATATAAAAGGACCCAGTTGAGGGCGCATCATTCTGCAAGTCCTCTTCCGCTTGCTCCCTCCGTGATAGTCTCCAACACTTGCCTTGACCCGCTCATGGCAGTTTCGTTGGTCGATGGCCTAACCGAAGAGCTCGTGGCTCATACGACTTTGGTGACGTCGACAAGCTAGCCACCCAACGATGGTCCATCAGTGGGCTCTGTACCCTCAGTCTGGCGATCACGCTCACATCATTACAGACAGTCGCACAGATGAGTAGCGCGTCGGCGACAACGTTGCGGGCGCACGTCCTTGATATAATTATATACAACACGAGGAGCAGTGGAGAGCGTGATAGACAAATGTGATCCGGAGGTACAACACGTATAGCGAGCACGAGATAGTACATAGCAATGAGTCCGATGGCAAAACAGGCGAATATGTGAGCGTATGGGTGTGGTGAGCACCACGTATGCCGCAGAAGGCAGGCATAAATCAGATGTCGGAAGCCCACGGATACACGGGGGCAGGAGGAGGCTGGGCAACAACCGGGGCCGGAGCGGGGCCCTCAACCCTACAGAAAGTAGTGAGCAACTGGACGCGCCTGTGTTGGAGACAGCAGCTGACCTGGCTTCTAGAGGCCCATTAGTGGGCCTCAGGACTCTCCGCAGAGAGCCATGAACGAGTGGGGGAAGGGCGGGAGTGAGGGAGCGCGGAGGCGCGTTTTCGTCGCGCCGTTGGCGGCGGTGAGAGGCTTGCGCGGGGAACATACCAGTGGTGGTGGTGGTGTGATAAGAGCAGAGAGTTCGACCGTGACGGTACGCGACAAAACTGAGGGCGTCTGTTCGCGGTACTCGGCCTGACAGCCCGTTTCGCGGTCTGACCCTTGATCTCGCGCCGCGCCTGCTTCCTAAGGCAAGTCCCAAAACTCCGCAGAAGAGCCTTTTGGGTGACTCTCGGTCGGTCACTCGTCGAACCGACAACCGACCCATGCGTGCTGCTCAGCGCCAAACATGAGCTGAATGGAATAGTCAACTTGCAGTGTATCATTTTCTCCCCCGTGTTCTTACCTTACACGTAGTGGCTCCGGCCATGTGGAACGACATTAGGAACCTGCTCGCCAGTTGCAGAGACACAACCGTGACGATGGAGGAAAACTCGAGCGGATGTCTGTCTTAACCTGACGGTCTACTGCCTGCAATGCGAGCAAAGGTCAGACATCCCTACACGTGCTCCGTCTAATGACTTACTATGAATGCTAAAAACGACTTTGGTTTTGGTAGCAGACCGCGCCTCCATCCCTACTTCGGGCTTGATCGACCGAGTTGTCTGTTTAATTAGTATAAAGTCCGATATTGGGTCGCAAAGGTCCTCAAGTTAGCCTAAACGGATAGGTTGGGATACGGCTCCGGCCTACTGCGAGTGAAGCAACGTGCCTTTGGCTGCAATTCAACACATTCATGGTCATGGTGAAGCATGCAAGTTCAACCTGCCCAAATCAGACTATGCGGACAGGACTGAAACAACGTACCAGGCATAAAGGTCGTCGTCGTGTCTTAAGATAATCCGTCTTGGTGAGCGCGATATGTCTTGTAGAGGTTCAGTCACTAATTTGACCAGTGCTCGTATTAGATCATCGTACTGCTTGTCAATATGTTTCCGGGTGTATCTCGCCGCCATTTCCCCAAGATTGCGTCTCTCAGCGTCCTCTACTCCATCAGGACCTGCGAACGATATGAAGATGTTAGAAACGATCCGTTGTGGGAGCGGGCAAGGGAACATACGCTTCTTATCTCTCAGCAAGCATACCAGAACGTCGTGGGTCCTCCTCAGGTAAGGTAACTCTACGGTGTACGTGCAACACAAATTCTAAGGGGTTAAGCGTCCATATGTACAGAATGCGCTAGGTTTGAACACGACTCAGGGTCACAGCCTCTTCAAATGCATTCTGACAGTCTACGAGGCCACTTCGCAACGATATTGGCCGTACATACGTTCCTATGAATGACTGTCATCGCCACCACTGGTCTCTAGGTCTGTTATCCGACAATGCGAGTCCAGGTCAGCATTAGTGGAAGCAACAGTTGAGATGCGACTTCAAGCCGGCATCTTGTTTTGCTGGCACAACGCATGCGATCGGCGCCCATGCACTGCATTTGAAGCCACGCCGTGATTGGCCAGCATCTTTCGTGTCTTGGCGTGCGCGCCTGTCTGGAAATTGAATCACGAGTAGCTCAGGGCTGTGTTTCCATTGAGGACTTGCACCTACTAGTATGTACCATTTCGTATCGAACCTCTTCTGTTGAGCCTCTTCCTCAAGTTCAACAATGCTATCAAACGAGACTCCGTTATCGTACTTATATAGCCTATACGCTCTGAGGTGTTGTCGCTGTCCCCCTGCTACCGCCTGTAGTGGAAATTCGTCGATTCGACTTCCGCTATGACCTCTGGTCGTCTCAATGCAAACAGTTCTAATGTACGAAGCCATAGATCAACAGGAAAATTGGCACCCAAAGCATACGGAACGGCAGTCAGCTTGTCGACTACCAAGATAGCCCATATCCCAGTCGCAGAGTTTTGACACAATGACGGTATCCAACTAATACAGGCCAACGTCTACAAATACACGAGAAAGCGTCTGCGTTCACTTCAACGACCTTAGCCAGTCGATATCAGTCAATAGGTTCCAAGAGGGAGTACCACTTCCCCGCATCCTTCAATAATCCCTCGATCAGTTTCATGCCCTCCAACACCTTCTCTTCCTCAAGACGCTTCCCCACCACTTGCACGCCTACCGGGAGTCCGTGCATCTTGTTGGCGTCGTACATCTTGTACATATCACGCTCAACAGTATTCCTAGGTGCGAACTTCCCTAGCGCATCCAGATCCTTGTCGACGTGAGTCACGGGGAGCACACCAGCCGAGTAATCCAGCTGCAGGGAGGGCTTAGCATAGGGCCTGAGCCTCTGGAGTAAAGAAAGACGCACTATGTTCCATAGGAATGTATAGCCGCATCCCCTGAATCCTTCCTTCATCCCTTTGTGTGGCGTCGCAGGGAGGGCATTGGGCACAGTCAGAATGAAGTCAAAGGCTTCGTCTCGCAGCTTCTGGAACCAGCGTTCGCGATATCCTTCTCGCTGAGCGACGAGACCTAGGTATTGTTCTGTCGTCTTCTCATACCAGCCGTCTATCAGCCCAGCATATATCTCGTCCTTCTTGATATATCGAAGGTACCAGGCATAGAGGCTCTTGACGAACCGTGGCATGGCGAACATGAGTCTCGCTTGACGTACGCCTGGATCGTTGGACTCGCCCCATCGAATAGGTCGCATAGACAACTTGGCTGGGGACCTCGGGGGTCAGACTACTGGGTGGGACCACTCACTACTAGACGTACCTCCTTCTGCGAGAAGAAGCTGAGAACCGAGTTTGAGTCCCTCGTAAGGGTTCGGAGGATCGCTGAGAACGTTTGCAGGTATGAGCATGCGAGGATATATTAGCTTAGACCGCTGCGCTTACATGTCGACAACCTCGTGACCACGACTCTTCAACTCGGATACCACTGTTTCCAGTGCTCGCCTACAAGCAGGAGAGGGAGCGACCACACCTAGTCGTTTCAAGTCACTACCGATGGGCGGACTGCTAGAGTGAGATGCCCTCACCGTCATCCCATAGCACACCCCAACGAATCGGCTTGCCATGGACCAGGTCTATCTCTCTCCATGGGATAGGCAGTACCTGCTCGAAGGTCAGCGAGCCGAGCTTCTCGATTGAGCGACGCGTGGGTGCTATATACAGAGTGGTCATATTTCCACGGCTTCATGACGAAGATGGCCCTCCAGAACGTCTCCAGATCTTCCAGCGTTCGCGTCATTGGCGAGTATACTGCAGGGATTCCCTCTTGACCCGGCATGCTGGTGGCATTCCCCGTTTTGAGGAACCTGTGCATAGACGCCTTGATAGAATACACCCCAGAGAAGTGTCTGGCGTGATGATACCGGTATCAGTCCTGAAAGGAAGCGGACCATGAACTAGGAAGACTCTACTGACGCCGGCGCGCGCACCGAACCTGCGACATCTGTGCCTATCCCAAGGCGCGATCCCCCATATGCAAGCAGCGCAGCCTCGCCGCCTGTTGAGCCACCCGGAGAATAGTCTTTGTTGTGCGGGTTTGTCGTCGTGCCGAAGACGTCATTCGCCGACTCGAACGAGAGCAGGGTGATCGGGATGTTCGTCTTGACGAACGGAACCGCGCCGGCATCCTTGAGGAGCCTGACGATAGCGGCGTCCTTCTGCATCGGCTTGCCCACCCACGCCGAGTATCCGATGCACGAGTCTTCGCCCTCGAAGCCCACCGTGTCCTTCAGGCTCACGGGCATCCCTGCGAGCGGGCCCTCGGTGTTGCACGTCTTCGCCCATCCTTCCGCCTTCGCAATCAGTACTTCTGTGAGACAGTTCGTCGCTGCGTGCGCCCTCAGTGCCTTCTTGCTATATGCCAGAAGGACCTGGGTCGGGAGCAGAGTGCCTGCCTGTACGCTCGCGATGACTTCGGACGCAGGCCGCGAGAGGATCCGCTCCTCGTCCAGAGATAGCGGAGCGTGGTATTCTGGCGGTAAGCTGCGGATGCGCTCTTCACGCTCCCTCTGCTTTGCAACGCTGGAAGATGATTGAACATAGGGTGCGGTGTTAGTAGCCTCAATGGCGCAATTAACCTCGGGCACGTACCACGCACGACGGTGCCCCAAGAACGACAGCATGATTGCAAGAGACTAAGTCCTGGACAGAGTCGAGGCTATCGACGTCAGAGGGGCCCTCCCGACTGTCTGGGCTATCGCCTCTCGGAAAGTCGGGGCGAAGTCCTCTGATCACAGTGGGATTTGCCAAGACGTCAGCAGACCCAACGTTCCCATGATCGTGCCGACCCTCAAAGAGAGGAGTTCTGCCATGCTAGCGACGCGACTACTGTTTCCGATCGCTGTCCTTCCTGCATGATCCAGCCCATAGGCGTGTCCGAGCACATTGACTGACATGCGTCAATCCGTCACGGTGGTGGGTGGCTTGTCGACCGGACTCCGGACGATGTGCTTCCAGGCTTCCCACGCTGTGAGGTAAGCGCAGGTGCGAGCGTCGTTCTCAATACAGCGAAGAGAAGGGATGTGAAATCTGACGACGAGAGCAAAACATGAGCCTGAGGAGCCTGTGGGAACCTTGAGAGGCCCCTTGACAACTTCAAAAGCATTCTCAAGCTTCCTAACGCTCGGCTACCATGACAGCATCCGGCGGGACGCGCACCTTAACCAGAAACGTCAGGGACCTTTGGGTATGTTAGCCGCTCCAAAAAGCATGAGCTGAAGACGTATTCCATGCGTAGACCGCCCTACTTGGTTCTGAGAGCGGATAGAAGAGACTATGTTCGCCTGCCACGACATGCGCACCTAGAATGATACTGAACGCCAACACCCAAAACTAGCAAGAAGGCGTTTCACCTCTCGTCCAAAGCATCTTCCCCTCCACGCACTAACGCACTGTCGGCGACAGGGACAAAGCACACTGCCAAGGTCCGATTTGATTATTTGTGGTCTCCCTTCGCCACCGGGCGTGATCCGCCTGCGGGATTCACGCTGCATGTGAGGACCTGGGCCTTCGGAGGGGCAACTGGAGAGTATCGACTTATGGGGAATAACAACCTCCCGCGCTCCGCGCGCGCAGGGTGTTGCAAAGCTCCTGCTACGATGATAGCCTTCTCTAATGCGAGATCTTTGCACTGCAATCTCAAGGGAATGTCATGATGGACTCCGATGCGGAAGACTGAAACCATCGTAAGTAGAAATTGAGCTAGCATGAGAAGCGAGGAGCCCACCTTATGGCTCCGGTTCATGCGATGAGTTGTCGCGTTTCTGCCACTCATCAAGGGAACGCTATTGTCGTCCAATGGACTACGCATTGCGACGGGCTGCCGTGCACTACGCCGTTCGGCTTTAGCGGAACTCGCCAGGCTTACTGACCCGACCATTGTGGCACACATGGTTCCAAGCGCGACGATAGCATGTCAGCGAGTCTGTAGTGACGGAGACACATTAAGGGTACTGATAAGTGGCTAGTAAGTCCATGCAACGAACGTCAACCGAAGACAACAAAACATATGCGATGCGACCAAACTGTAAGACGTAGCGTCATGTCGTGTCCGGAGTAGTCCATGAATATCATCCGTGAGAAAGCGGCACTGCAACCGTCCCCACACCTCGCCTACGCCGTCCGAGCCCAACCCACCATCCCAGGGTAGAGGGGCGACGGAGGCTGCGACCTCTCTAGTGTAGGGCTTGCCTGATGAGCGAATAGCCTGAGAGGAACATCACGACTACGGTCACCATCAGGCTGACAAACGCAGGATGTGTGGTGTACTCGGACCATGCACCGCTACAGGTCGCACATACCCAGCCTGGACAGGGACGCTCTCAGTAACACGCAGGCAATCGGGTAGAGAAACCACGTACTCTCCAAAGGGGTGTATGGTTGTGGGGTGTAGAGCGCAAACTTAAGCGCAGAGTTCTCCTGCAACAACCCCGGCTCCCTCGCCGCTCCCGGCCCCCGATCATCCCAGATGTGCAGCACGTACGAGCCCGGCGCGAGAGGCAGATTCGAATGTGCTTGCTGGTATGACCACAGGTCCCATGTCACCTCCGTCGCCGTCCCGGGAATGACGCCGTCGGTAGGCCCGACGGGGTAGGTATTGCCGTTATCGCCGATGGCAGAGACGGTGAGGTGAGTGGGTGTTGAGAGGACGTCGGTGAAGTTCCATGCGAAGGTCACGGTGTTAGAGGGAGCGATCTTGAAGAAGGAGGTGGCCGTCTGAGGTGGTTTTGTAATCGTGAGGCCACCGGCGGGAGCAGACACAGGAATGCCGCTGCTCGACGATGGGCTTGGGGAGTTTTGCTGCTGCCCTGAATTGCTCGGAGAGGGTGTCTGCTGGTTCTGAGCCATTGCGAGCCAGTCGGTGTGTGCAAGAAATGAGCGAACGGATGAAGGAGGGGAGGACTACTGTCGTTGTCGTGGACGGGCAGAGGACGCCTTCCATGGCGTTGCAAAGAGCCCAGCGCGTCACAGCAATGTCACAGTACCGCGTCACGACCTCCGGTATCGGTCACGCTCTGGGCGGACCCAGGCGGACCTACCTCCATCACCGTCGGGCGGCGGTAGCAACACGACGAGCTCGAAGTGCGCCAGTGTTCCCCTGCAGCGTTGGCCAAGTTCACCCGCTCTGACTCGTCCGACCGCCCTAAAATCTACACTCGACTGTGATCAAACTGTCAGGCCAATCGAATTTACAAGTCCGTTCTTTGAACGCCCATCATACTCGGTTGGTTCAGGGGCTCCGAATACCATCTCTCTTTCTGGCAACAATCGTGCCTCGTGATGGCTACGGCGTTGCTCCTTCCGGATACGCAGGAGACAAGAGAAGGAGGCTGTCGCGAGGCCGTTGCCAACTGAACGCGGGCTCTCACTCTACGTTGTGCTTCGTCCTGTTATTCTCGGCCAACGAACCTGTGCTGGTGAGTTTGTCGACCCACGCTGGCAGTCGGATTGTTTCGGGGTAGGCTTCCCAGCTCAACTCGTGGACAATCCGGCAACTCGGTGCATGCTTGATCCCATGCGGTGATTTCACTTCCACGTCAGTCTGCCTGCATTCATCAAACGTCCACACGACGGGACAGAGATGATCTTCCTCGCTAAGCATTGTTCCGGTTCTCCCCCCTTCGTTTGGCCTCATATACCTGAAACGCCCCGGCGTCTTGATTCCTCGTGAATGCTCTCCACCTTATACCCACCACCTTTGTGCACGTCTCTTATACCCATTTAACTTCTTGTTCGCCCGGCCACGCTCATTTCTAATGGCACTCGCTTTGCAGACTCCTCGTACGCTTGCTGAAGTCAGGTCACCGTCTTCGTCTACGAGCCTTGGACTCGATCACCACATCGGCGTCTCTTCGGTATTTCGGACTGAAACGACCCCGCGCCATCGCGATGCCCATCTATACGGCTATGAAGGACTCACACCCGTCTCTTCTCCCCTTTCTCCGGAAGAAAGCGAGGAGGACATGCCGCTTAGTCCCATAGTGTTCAAGAAGAACGAAATGTACGAGCGCTCGCGACTCTCGTACGTTCCGCCCATGCCCCCCCGATCTGCCTCGACCCCTCCTAGCCCTACCAACATTCAGGACCTGCCACCCATCTCTCCAGTTGTATTCTCGCAGCAGAACTCGAGCAGCCCCTCGATCAACCTGCAGCCGCCGCCTGCGTTCCCCACCGCCGGAACACAATCGCTCGCAGTTCGTCTGAAGCGCCCGCTGCCCCCGCTTCCCAGGAATGCCATAGCTGTCGAAGACGATGAGACAGAATCCTTATCACGCCACAGCCCTCTATCTGCACTCAGCACGTCGTCGCGTCCTTCACCATCAAGCAGCTATGACCGCGACACCGACAGCGTATCCAGCTTCTCGCCGGGGCCTTTCTCATCGCGTAGTTCCGCAACGTCCGTCCTCAGGTCAGCGTCTTCGGATTCGATTGGCTCCTCGAGGGCGGTAGAGGCATTTCCCACTCCGGAGGCGAGGCCTAAGGTCTCTCCTTTGACGATTCCCTTGCGTTCCCATACGTCCCCCTTGCCCCCGGGCCTGGTCCCTCCCATCGGTAGCCGCATTATGAGCCCCTACATATCCGTAACTCCTGCATCCCCCCTACCACCTCAGCAATTTTTCTTCGAGCAACCACCTCGGCAGCGGAATATGTCTGCGTCTTCTCTTGTCCACTCCTCCACAGCTGAGAGCCCGGAGGGGCCTCGTCACATAGCGCGCAGTCCATCGCCAGTCACACTGCCTCGCACATCTTCTCCCGTTCCCTCTCTAACGGCATCCACGTCTTCTCAGAAGTCCGACGGTAAGGGCGGACTGTTCACACTGAGACGCATCAGGTCAGGCGCACGCCTTTTCGGCCGACGGACGCTGTCCTCCGCCTCAGAGCAATGGGAGGATCTCAACGACGACGAGACGATAGTCGGCCATGGTCAACAAGGTTCCCTCTCCTTGGACGACGGGATGCTTCGCCCAAGAGTACAATCGCGCCCCGATACACCCTCCACGCTTGGTTCGGAGGGGTCCGGTGGTGGGAAGCGGTCGATGGACACGCACAGCGTGACATGGCTCCAGGATCGGCATCCAACCAAGCGACTGGAGATCATGGAGCTGGTGCTCAGGGAGGAGGGCGAGGTTTGGATGCCCATAGATATCGACGACGCTATCCCGAAGCTGAGAAAGCTGAAGGTAGCGGGGGCCTTCAAAACATGAGCGTCGCATATCCAAGTCACCCGCGTTGGGCAGCGCGGTCAGTGGCTGCCTTCAAGTTTCGGTCCGGATTGTGGCACGACTACGAGCTTGTTGTCGGGCGAGCCGGTTTTCCGTACCCTTTATTCCTCCCCTTCCCTATCGGACGATGTTGTACAAAAGCACGACTATCCTCACGTTGTCTGTTTCACTTGCTATTCCTGCTACCAATGCCTACCATCCGTGCACTGTGCATGCCCCTCGTTGCTCGTCCTCCACTCGCCCTCCTTACACTCGCTATTGTCCACGATCGATCTCACATTCGCCGCAACGCACAGTCCATCACTGATTTGTCTGGCAACGCTAAGCATACCGTAGACTCAAGCCGGCGAAGGACCATACCCTGACTGTCTCCCTAGCTCACCGTAATGCATGGTCTCTATCACCACGGACTCCCCGCGATGCGGACCCTGACTCGGACCCTTGTATGTGTATCTGTCCGGTGCCTAATGTACTTACGTCACCTCATTTTCTCTTCATACATGGCTCGAGTCCTACTTTTACAGTACATGCTCCACAAGCGACATCGCTTCCGTAATGAACCAATCATTCTTGGTCGCACTCTTTCCGGTGCTGCCAGATTGGAGACACCCACGGAGTGAGCTGTCGGGCGCGCTCTCCAGAGATAGATTAAACGTCTCCCTTCATCTCTATGCGCGGATTTCCCACGAGATACGTCGCGGACCGATCTTGCCTTGACCTCCTTTCACAGCCTCAGGCTTGTGTCTTCATGATATGTGGTCTCGACATCCGGGCGACACACAAACATATGTAATGGAAACATTCCGACGAGACAGTTGCGAGACGCACCACTTCCATGTTGCGGGAGCACTAGTGCTTGAATGACAATGGATCTGAACACATCGTTGACGTCCTCGCCAAAGTAGGTCACAACCATGGTAGAGAGGCGGACCACGGAGAGGGACCTTGAAGCATCTCCACACAACGAGTACAAGGCGCAGGAACCCTATCATCCAGTCCGAACCACATCATATCGCATAGGAAATATTTCACCCCGGGCGCCGACAGGCAGTGCCAGTCTTGTACGTCGGTGGCCTGTGTTCCCGTGCCAACTCAATTGTCCGCTATCTCTAGTCTGGTCTATTCAACACTTATCTCCGCTCCGTACATTCAAGCCAACATTCACAGCCGTGGGCACGCTATCGCGGAGTCATCTGTGCTGCTCTCGGTCTAACCTTGAATCACGTCGCCGATCACTAGAGGGGGCAAATCGAAGGCACCCGCATATACGCCCAATGCTGCGGATACCACAGGCGTCACAGCAGGCGCACACTCTAGACGGGCCTTGAGCGCGCTCTCTCGCTCGCCCGCGGCCCTGTCCAGTACGCCCACTACCTGTGTGTCAGCGATTAGCACCGCCTGCCGCGTGGGAGCCGGAGGCAGGACATCGTCCGTCAGCCGCTGCGAAATGAGCTGCACGGAGAGCTTCCTCCTGGAGTGTGCGCCGGTCGACGGCCGTATGAGCTTGTCATACGCTGCGGTTACTTCGGATAGGGTGAGAGCGCGGATCGCCTCTGCGTCAGCCTCGTCTGTAGAGCGGCGACGTCAACGCGCAGTTAGCCATGACTTTGAGTTTGGGGGTGTGAAGTATGGGGAAGAAGGGCAAAACTCACTTCGGAGGAAGTCGTAGTGGCCAGCGCAGATCGTTTCCCAGAAGCGGGACGTCTCCTCGCCAAGGTTCTTGACGCGCTCGAGCTTCTTGACCACAAGGCCGTCCTTGTGCATCGCGAACTCCTCCGCGGTCATCCCGGAGAGACGCTCGGCGAAAGCCTCCAGAAACGCCTCCACCCGTGCCTCACAGTGCCATGGGGAGCGAGTGCTCTGCATCCTGATTCCGACGCCGACTGTGCTGTTGGCGATGGACCAATTCGTCACAATTACGACATATCTGTGAGGTGTTGTGGTCACGAGTCAGTGGCCTGTGTCTGCTTCGGGACAAGCGCCAGGATCGTCACGATTCGCGCACGCGCTGTGAGCGCGTGCGAGCGGATGCGCGGCAGGAGCGCTTCTTGAGGCTGACATATGTACGTACCCAAGCTGTTCCTGGGTGCGGAGCTGCGTAAAGCAGGGCTCACGGATCACTTGATGGAGCAGAGCGGCGACACTCCGAATCTTGATGTCGGAGACCTCGCCAAACTGGCAAAAGTAGGAAAGGGCGCTATTTACCTCCTTCGGGTTCGCCAGTCGCTTGCGCGTGATGATATTCGAGCCTGACAAGATGGTCGGTTATCTCGTACATCCGCTGTGTGGTCCTGATTATGATCATGGTGGGAAGGCAACTGACCTGGAGGGAGGAGCAAGGAGCGTGGATGGGGGATTTCGCTCGGAAGAAGAGGTTGTGACTGAAGGCATCCCTCGACGATAGCCAAAAGCTCCAACGAACGCTGTCCAGGCATGAGCGACTGCGGGGACAACTGACAGCACGAATCACACGCACCTCTTTACTGAAATTACCGTTTACTAAGACTTCGATGAATGTCTTCGAAAACAGTGCATCACGATGACGTTCGATATCGCCCTCGGTGATCGCTGGCAATTGGATTCAGCAGCGGAAGCAGTGTCGTAATCGACTGCGCTTACAAGACAGCTCAGTAAGCTTCTCCGCAGGAGTCCATCTCCTGGGTAAGAGATACCACGTGGCGAACGAGTACGACAAATTCGACGGTTGTCCGACGTAGAAATTGTCATAATCACGCTTGACCTGGGTTCACGAGGTTATCACCAAGGCAAATAACGACGATCCGCAACGCCTGACTGATCACCTTTTCCTTCATGACTTGGAGTCTATCGGCCTGCACGGCCAACTGGCGAAGCTGGTCGAGCACCATACGCAGTAGAACGTCCAACTTGTCATGGTAGCCTGCTACGGTCACGTCGATGCCTTCGCTATGACTTGATACCGCGTACGATAGCCCTGCGATACCGGCATCGTAGGTAACCTCCGCAAGGGCGTCCTCGATAAGATCAACGAACAGCCTTCGAGATATAAGTAAGTTAGTGTGCGACGACACGCCAAGCGCGCAAACTGACCCGGTCAGAAGTGCGTGACGAGATGTCGTGTATGCGACGGGGCTACGATTAGTCAGTTGAAAACCTAGTATGTGGTGTGCATGGACGTCTTTGGGAGTACCTCTTGATAACGATGCGGACTTGGGCTTTGGGTACCCAGAACTGGTCATCCTTCTTGTGCCATAGCTGTGATATATCTGTGCGTTTCACAAGAGTTGGGAATTTCGCTGGCTAAGCGACAGTGCCAGCAACCTCAGCTTCAACTGGTTACATAACTTTGCTGGCACGTACCTCCGCAACTTCGACTTTGGTGACGGACAAATCCGTCGGAATGAAACGATTGGCAGAAGGGAGAGCTAACTCGGTATTGCTACTTGCCTCCCGGAGCTGGGTAGCGGCAAGCCGTTCAGGAAAGTATAACGAAGACTTGATTCGACTCACCTTCTCCAACAGTACCTCGTCGAACTTGCGGACAGCAAACTGTGTGCCGTACCACTTCTCAGCCTCCCATTGCACGTCTTTACCTACAATCTCCTCTCGATGCTCCTTTGCTTGCAGGAAGAGCTTCGCGCGTTCCGGGGTGAAGCTATCCAGGAGCTGCTTCACTGTCGCGTCGTCTTTGCCGCGGTATAGGTAAGGGCCGCTGATGAGCTGTTCCGTGCGGTATGGTTCAGACATATCGCGCGCAAGCCTAACGGCGTATTCGTGAGGCTGTCCCTTTTGCATGAAACGGAAGCGAATCCCGGCCATAGTCGCGACCTCGGCATAGTGATAGTCAGGGAAAGGGAACGAGCGCCGCATGAGAGCAATGTACTCGAAAATCGTTTCCAGCACGGCATCATAGTGGACTGAGACGAAACATTTAGCGTAAACAATCATATCGTATCAGTAGGACCATGGAGAGATGGGTACTACTCACGATACCCTTCAAGCGTGAGCGTGCCATCAACATTGAAGGTCTGCGGGCCACGAGTGTGACCCGACGTAAACGCGCTGAGATTGAGCAGCCACCCTTGCTTCTTCAGATAGGCACAGACACTACCGACACCCTCGTGGCCTAAGAAGTGTGCGAGGAACGCCGCAGGCTTAGAGGTCACGTGCTGGCGCAAGTCGGGCAGCCCGAACTGCAGACTGAACGCATGAACGTCCTTCACGGTTTGGACAATCACGATGGTCTGGATTGAATGGTACGGGGTCAGACAATAGACAGCGCCCGAGATACGAGGCGTCACTCGCCCCTCTGTGCTCTGGGCCCCAGAAGGGTTCCTTGACAGCAGGATCCGGCTCGTATTCACGGCTCGCAATCTTCGAGAAGAGGGGTGCGGCCAGCAAGGTCAAAGCGTCCAGAGGCTCTGCGACAACGTAAGCATGTCACCCATTAGTCTATGCCAGCAAGCATTGGAGAACGGTCCGCCATCGCTGCGTTCACGAAGCTTCTCGTGACAGCCTACTTGAAGGTCTCACCTTTTCCGACCACAGCGAGCGCCATGCGGGAAGCGCAGTACTGGCGTTCCCACCACCCAACGAGCCGGCGCCTCGTCTCGCGCAAGACGGAAGCTTCGTCCCCGTCCGTGTCCCCTGTGCGGCCCATATCAGTGAGGCTGACATAGTTCCCAGTACCAAAGTTGCGGTTCGGGTGCCCATCTACGCTTAGATGTTTGCTGAGCTGGAGGAGGCGCCGGGCGTCGTTCTGTAAGTTGCGCTTGAACTCGGAGTCCACCGCATTGATTTCACGGGCTGCGAGAGACTCTGTGAAGAGCGGCGCGTAGAAGAACGCTGCAAGCCGCGAGAGGCCCCCTTCGAGTTGTGTCGGATTGAGCGAAAAATAGTAGTGGGTTGACATGGGACCCGTCACTCCATTTTTGGCGCCACCATTGGCGGTGATGAACTGCGAGAATAAGGCTGGAGCTCTCGAGGCACATCGAACGACTTACGGAAGTAAAGTCGCCTTCATCTGGGTATGGTTCAGAGCCCTGGATTCGGGCGATATCAGTATGCTATCGAAGAAGCATGCTGAGACGCCTTCGCAATCCGGAGCAAGGTAAAGACGGTAAGGCCACGTAACAATAACACGCATTGCGCATTCCCATATGGGTTCGAATGGATGACTGTACTCGGGATTCTCTGCACAAGAACATACGTGACCTTCATAATCATATGCTCGCAATAGTGCGCCATGCCCTGAGCGTCGATCTGCATCACAGAAGGTGTTGAATTGACACCGCTGGAGGCCAGAATGGAAGCAAAAGCCGTACCGGGTCATACATATGTCCTATTGTTAGTGCCAAGCAGGCAGCAGCCTTGTCTGCTTCGGGATCGTGTATGAACACCGCGCGCAAGCCATTCTGTAGCTGTAGCACGCGGTAATGTCTGTCATCGAGCAACGGCTTCTCGAGGTCGCCTGTGAACAATCGGTAGGCAGGAACAGGGTCCGCAGCGGGAACGTCCTTCCAGGCTGACATGTGGGTGCGAGGAGCCTGGAAACGGGCGATTGTAATTCGAGGGTACCGGTAACAATTGCCGACTGAGAGGAGGGTGGTGGATCAGGAAGGGTCCGAGGGAAACGTTCGGTGGTAGTAACCTGGGACGACTCGATATTCAATGCTCGCGCGCCCCCGATGATTGCAGACCAAACCAGGACTGGCTAGGACTGTACGGAGACGTCAGAGCGACCCAGGACGTGGGCGAACAGACAACGACGGCCGGAGCGCTCGGAGGCAGATGTCCTCGAGGCAACCCGGTTGTTCCGCATTCCCTTAACAGGAACGTTTGTTCTTCCGCTCTAGCGGCCAGAAGCGCTTGTATTTAAGCTTTTCGCAGTCCGTCCCCGACTCCTCTTGACTCGCTCTCCCCGATTTGTGAGCCACCGACGGTCGCTGTGCTGTCATGTTCTGTAGGTCCAGGGTAGTGTATGGCGGGGCGCTGTTACGAGATCCCGACATGAGGGCGAAGGTCTACGGACCGGATCCGAAGGGACGAAGGCCAAGAGCCTCTATCGCGACGTTCTCTCACGTCAGGCTTCTGGGGGTGGGTTCGTCTTCTCTCATTCAACGGAACGCTATGGCAGTGTGGCCCGAGAACATGAGCGGCCTCTAGTGGCGAATCCGGCGTGGACCAAGGCCTGGGCACCAGGGATCGCCGGGGGAGCAGCGAGATGCACGCGTCCACCACGCACCAAATTTGTAACATTCAGGCGAATCGCGGGAGGACCCTCCATTTCGGAGGTCCGTTTCACTTTTCACCCTCTAGATGGGCCGGAGGGCCTGGACCGTCATAATCCGTGAGCCACTGAGAGTTGTTCCGCCAGGATCGTCCAGTGGCCACACGTCTCCGTGCTTCCTGCTTCGAACGGTTCAGATGGAAGGCGCCCCCACTGATGGCAGATGGCTGGGAGGCCGACATGGGTGCTCTCCAGGCACGCGTCCCTTGTCGATGTCGGATCGATGCGTCCGTCACCCTCTCTCGGGCGACGAATGGGAGATGGAGGGGGAACGTCAGCGGGGGTGCTGGTGGCTAGCGGTCGCGCATTGTTCTTCCCAGGCCACAGGCGCAATTGTTCCGAGCGGTGAGAAGTCAATGGAGACCGCCTATCCCAGCCACAAACATACTCGCCCCTCTATTTTGCCTTGCCTTGTCCAAAACGGGCCCCTTTGTTCTCCGATCCCGGTCTGGGCCCAGACCACCGCGCTCGCTCCGTTGTCATAGTGCACACACGGTGCCACAAGATGCGTGCAATGACCACTGACCCCGCCCGAATCTTCAGATACGAGGACGTGCGTGGTGGATGGTGTTCTGCGTATATATACCACTCCCTAACCCTCCGCCGCCGAACCAGCATCCCGGGCGATCAGTCCTCCCTCAGACTTCGCCTTGCAAACTATTGACACTTTGCCCCCAAGCTGCCTGGCGTCCGACTGCTGCGTACGTGTGTGGTCAACCGCGCTGTCTCACCTGCAACGCGTGAATTGAATCTGATCGGTACTCGCCAGGCAGACTGCGTTCGCTAACTTCAAACATCACCGCACTCCTTTGATCAGGGTGGCTCATTGCCCTCATCCTTTGTGTCGCCCAGGCCTTGATACCCGCCGAGCGGGAGTATAACTATCCCCTTGAGCATGATGGCAGCGACTACCAGCCATAGCGCGTCCTATATACATAGGTCGCACCCTCTCTTGAGCTCGAACGGAGACACATCATTCTCGCCAGCCATGTTGGAGAGGCTTCGCAGGCCCGACGGCTACTCGCGGAATCTCCCGCTCGCCCGTACACGCGGCAGCGAGTACAGCACCAGGTGCGCATGATTCCTCAGCGCGCATCGACCCTGGTCTGCTGAGCTAACGCACTTGACATCTGTCCTAGTCATAGCCATTCCCGCTCGTACTTTTACGAGAAGGCGGACGCACACGTCTCCCCAGAGACGTCATCCGAGAGCCCTTCGCCACGGGAGACACGCGTGACCCTCCCCCCCCTACGGCAGCCTACTAGGTCCCCCATGCAGAGCATAAGCTTTGCCACCACGACCTCCGCGACCTCCACCTGGGCCATGTCCCCTTCGGCGTACTCGCCCTCATCAACCCGCTCCTCATCTCCGGTCTCTCGCAGCAGGATACAGCCCCGCGAGGAGTACCGCGCGAAGATCGAGTCTGAGCAGGGAGCTGCGATTTCTCCAAGGGATCCCGACCTTGACTCCTGGGTGATTGCGCAGCAAAAAGCCCTTGCGATGATCCCCCCGCGCCCTACCCCGCAGGTCATTCACCCGCGCGCGAGCATCTCGCCCGATCGTCATCGCTCGCGCGCAGCGTCCCCATTATGGCATCCATATCCATACCCTGCGGCTTTCACCGCAGAGCGGCACGCATACAGAGAGCGGCAGGACAGCTGGTCTCCCGAGCCTGACGGTTGGCAGTACCTGCCCCCTTTGAGGTGCGTGCTTTCCTTCGCACGCCGCCGCGTTTTGACCAAGTAGGGCGACGACACTCACTTGACCCTTCTGCGCTTCAGGAATCTCCAGCCCAGCCGAGCGGCATCTCCGGAGTTTGTCCAAGGTTCCTCGAGCGCCGTGTTCTCGGCGCCTTCGCGTTCTCCCAGCCCTAGCCCCAGTGTGAGCTCGTACAGCACCAATGAGGCGTCTGGCCGCACCGACACCGACCCGACCGACGAGGACGACCCCGTCAAGGTGGAGCCGGAGTGCATCAAGCTCCCGCCTCTCCGCACCATGTTTCCCGACGCAGCACCCGGATGGTGCACGCATCACAGCTGGAATGGCTCGGAGCGCTCGTCGACCAGTTCCGTCCACCGAGACGCATTAAATCCGCTCAGCCGCTCGGCCGTCACCTTGTCTTCTAGTGCGGAGTATAGCGCGCGCTGGAGGCCCAGATCGCCCTTCCGAGACGATGGCGATGGCGACCTTCCGGCCCAGGTCTCCGACCTTCGCTCCAGCATCTCGCACGAAACCAGCAACTCCCCCGTGACGGTGAGCACGCGCACCCAGTGGCGGACACAGCAGGGTCCAGCTTCTACTCGCGGTCGCCCCGCGCCCGTCGAGCGCATCCCCTCCGTCGGTACGGCGCACACGGCAGAGCTTCCGGTGATGTCGCCCACTCCCAAGAAGTACCGTTTCGTCACGAGCAAGCCGGTCGGAACCAACGCGGAGCTGCGTGAGGAGGAGCTCGACGAACGCCGTCGTCCCGTGACCGTCAGCCCTAGCGGCACCAAGCGCAGACACCCTGGCACGTCCTCCCCTTCCGAGTCGAGCGTGGACGCCCCCTCCCCCCCGGAGACGCCCGAGGAGGAGGAGGACGGCCCGCGCAAGCGCAGGCAGGGGCAGGGCCAGCTCCCGTACGAGGGCTCGTTCCCCGCCGAGCCGGGCTCGAACGCTCGTCTCGTGCGCAGCCCGCGCGGGGCGATCGTGCCCGCGTACCACTACGACACGGAGCGGGCGCTCAAGTGCGCGTTCCCGCAGTGCGGCGCAGTGCTGACGGGCAAGAAGAGCGAGACGGCGAGCCACATGCGCTCGCACTTCCTGCAGGCCGTCGAGGAGACGCTCGAGTGTCCGTGGCCGGTCGAGGGCGAGGACGGGCAGAAGGCGTGCTGCGGGATGGCGTTCAAGGACAGCGCCAATTTTGGCAGGCACGTGAGTTCGAAGCACATCAAGGCGGAGGAGTACCAGTGCAATAGGTGCGGGCGGCCGTTCGCCAGGCGGGACGCGGCGTTGCGGCATATGAAGACGCTGTGTCGGGTGGATGGATCGGGACCGAAGAGGAAGAATGAGAAGAGGCCGAAGACGAAAACGGAGGAATTTGAAGAAGGTGAGTACAGGGAGGCGACTACATCGCAATGGTTGGCGTGCTGATTGCTGGCCTAGTATACGTGTTCGATGGTTAGAGAGTTAGAGACGCTGCTTCATCTCTTAAGGACAGAAGGGACTCTGTAGGGACTCGTTACGAAACAGACAATGGACTGGGACTGCACAGATTACGTACTTAAAAGGTGACGTACACGGACTCGAAGTACTTAGGTCGCTATGGTTATGGAATTGAACAGCTACCTCCTACATGTTGCTATCTGTATACTACACCATAGCGTGTCTGTATAGCTAGGAAGTTGGACAAGTGTCACAACTACTTTGAATAAAACTGGCTGCGATCGTGTACGAGACGACTCGGAGCATGATAGCTCCGACTGTGTGATGGGGCAATGCTCTACGTAATCAGAAGATGGTAACAGTCATATTCGTCTCCCAATTGTGGTGCAGTCGATCACGACAAGCTGTGAGTCTCTAGGCGGACATTGCATCCATGTACTCATTTGGCAAGTGTGAGAAGATGTAGGTACGGGACGCTGAACAACTACGAGGGCAGGAGAGTGGCACAGCACCTCTTCGAGTGTTTCAGCTCCTCTTTGATGCCCTCCGTGTGCCGCCGTGGACAGTTTGCTGTATGCATTCGACAGATACTGCTCCCATCTGTGGTTTTGAAATACAGTCACGGCATGCTTGGTCTCGTCGCCATACGACATGGCAGCACGGGTGCTTGGTGTCTTCGCAAAACATGCTGCGCACGACTGGGGTCCAGTGCATATAAGAAAGTGAGAGGGCACGAGAGCTGAAAATTCACCTTTGTCCTCTCCAGCTTTCGTTTCTTCTTCCGAGCTTGCAGGCGGCTCGCTGGCTTTATATACAACCTTCACTTATTCGCTTAACGTTCGTCATGCTCCGCAGACTTGCTCCCGCACTGGTGCTCCTCTCGGTTCTGAAAAGTCCTCGTTAGTCGCTGTTATGATGTCTCGGTGAGCCTTGTATTGACATTTGTTCGCACCTAGACGTCCTTGCTGCGCCGGCTGTAGTTTCGCTGCTCGTCCCGTTCGCCTTGCCCGACGAAGCGATCTCCGCCAGCTTCCTCGGTGACGACGGACAAGGACACTCATCCTATGCGCTCGGCGTTGGGGCTGCCAGTGGAGCGTTCACCAACACGGCGACTATCAATGGTACGTCCGGAAACCACGTAAGACCGCCTCTTTCGGTACATGCGATTGACCGTCGTCTTCGCAGGTGTCCTCATTGCGGGTCCGACGGACGTACAGCTAGTCGGCGTAGACCTCACCACCGTCATTGACGGGGCGACCGCCGTCGTCACCGGCTCTGCGGACTGCGCGTTCCCCACCGGGGCGGTGGCCGGCAGCTCCGTCCAAGCCAGCTGCAACCTGGCCGGGCAGGGCGTCGTCAACGCACCGGGGGGCGTCCAGTCCGAGAACAACGTCCAAGACTCGTTCCCGCAGACGATCATGCCTATCATCGGGCTGCAGCTCCCCGACAGCGGCCCGGGCGCCCTTCCTGGGGGCGGGCCCAGTGCGAGTGCCACCGCCTCGCCCTCGCAGAACACGGGTGGGGCGGCCCCTAGTGCAACGGGGGGCGCGGCTAGCCCGAGCGGCTCTCCTGCGAAGAGTACTTCGGGTGGGGGATCTGCGGCGCCGAGCGGGAGCGGCTCCAGCGGCGCGTCGAGTCCCTCTCCGACCCACAATGGCGCGATGGAGGGTGGGCTCGTGAAGGGTTCTGGATGGGGTGTCGTCGTTGCGGCGGGTCTTGTGCTCGTGAGCCTGCTGTGAACGAAATCGATATGATATTAAAGCCTGTGTACGACTGCCTGCTTGACCAGCACTAGGAGAGCGAATCATGATGTATACATTATAGCGATTCAATAGTGGTGAGCCATACCTCACGGAGGAACATGGTTGTGTCCTTCGTACCCGCAGACGTTGAATGCGCGAGTGCAGTGCGCTCTCTGGTTAGAGCTGTTAGCATGGATTCACGTAGTAAGCAATCGTCTCATGACACTAGAAAATAATACTACCAAACCGTATTGGAACATTCGGCGGAGATCGGTTTCATCAGGTGACGGGCATTGAGTCAGATCGAGTAGTGGTCGCCGGGCTTCTGGTGATCGGTGATGCCCATCCCCAAAAATCCTTCAAGGAAGACGCAGATGCTCTCGATGTCGGGAACAGCTGTGGAGGTGCATAAGTACAAAAAAGAAGCCTGTCTGCCACTGGTGCAGTACGGACGCCCTGTCATATGTATGCTCTTTTAGCTTCAGTGGCAGTGGCTCCATCGTGCAGCCATTCAAGCACGTTGGTGAGGGAGCCCTAGAGATAGTGACCAGATCAATACTTGTCACATTGCCTTTAATATGCAAGCTGCTCACCTTTTCGTGTACTACACGGCCGTCCATGCACGCCGCGGGCCGGCGCAGTTTGATTTGCACCCAGTGATTTCTGGCACATAAGTTATGCGACAATTTCTTGCACGTACATAGTTTGACAAAATAATCGATAGCAATTGACTCATGAACTAGGTGTTCAGCGCGGGATACGTATGAGGGCGTACATGCGTGGACACTAATAGCCATTCGGCATAAGATATAGCGCTAGCGCGCCTATTAATGGGCGTGCATGGCAATTCCCGGCAAGCCTTTCCGGCGCTTGCCTGCGACCACGCACCAAGTACTATCCCTCAAGGGGTTTTGCAAAATCTGGGCGTTTTGCAGAACCCTGAGCCCTTCCTCCCTTCCTCATGCATCGCTCTGATATGTCAGACTCATGATGCTACACCCATTCTGATATCATCTGTCAACTTTTCGGAGCCAAATGGGCTGGAGGACGCCTTTGCGAGCAGGAGACATTTAGTTACACCTTTAAGCGAGTTGACGCCCAGCTTGATATACAGATCTTTCTTTGTCTCTTACTGAGAAAGTTCAAAAATCTTCCCGAACGAATGTATGGGCGCATTTTCAATACAGAAATTATCCCCGATAGCTCTGAGGATGGGTAGACATCCTAGGGAAGCCATTTCTTTCAGGTGCTTACAGGTTTTGCAAAACCTCTTTCATGCAGGTACTCGGAACATGGCATCCCCATAGCTCGCGTTCAGCTCCACAGAATTTTACGAAACTTGGAGGACATATGATCGATGTAAGTCTTAGCAATGCCTGAAATTTGTGGAATACATAGGTCAGTATTGCTGGAGAGGCAGGTGCCATCATTTCTGGTGTTGCAAAACCCCTGGAGGGATAGTACACCATCATGGTCAGAAGAAAGCCGCCAAATCAGTGTCTGCCACCACAACTTCTGGCTCACAATGGTAGCGATAGGTTAGTGAGACGATTTGCTTCTATTCTTTTGCTGCTGGCATGCAACCACTTGCAACTAACAGCTGCTGTCTCGGACGATGACACTACAAAAATTAACATGTGTGGGGAATTGCATCGTGCCCTCCCCTCCGTACGTCATATTCGACATGTTGACATACATCGCTTTTCAGGCTCTGCTTTTCACACGCGAAAATTTGAACGAAGGAGACATCATCGCGAGAAAGATGCCCTTCGAATCCTCTCCAAGCATACTGCCCTGGACCCGGAATCACCACACATCTTACGACAACCTCTCTTGAAGGCCCTTTCACAGTCTCTATTTGTAGCCCTTGTGCTGAAACATTTGCACGGTATGTAAAGCTGGGTTTTCCCGCCAATCTTGCGGGAGACCATGACCTAATGTGCTGGGTCCTCCAGCTGAGGAATTCCGATGTGCATATATGCGTGCCTACAACACGTTTCCCCTGGGCAGCCATAGGTGATCATGTTCCCTAACTCAATCCCCGCGTACTAATATGCTCGCCAAACTGCGCTTCTTGATAGGCAGTGTGTACAAGCAAGCAGAGCTCTGAGCGAGGCAATTGCGCTCTGCTGGGCGCTCTGCAGGTAAGTTGCCGGCCCATTGTCGTCGCAATCACAACAAGGTACATCGCCTGTGTGATTTTTCCCCACCCCGTAATGCTAGGTCCTGGGCATGCTTGGGTTCTCATTTTGCTCCCGCGACGTGTGGAGGGTTCTATTCGCAACCGAGATCGGCTCACACAGAGTTGAGGCTTGTGTGGACTGCGGCGGCGCTATATGGCTTATCATTTGCATAGTATGTATCCGTCGATATACGTATGTAAGTATGTGGCTCAACACAGTATGGTTTTCAAAAACACAGCCTGATTTATGATATGTGACAATATAGGAAACAACGGGAACCCAGCAAGTACTGTATATGGTGCTTTACTGCTTGACGTCGTTGGGCACACATGAAAACCTTCGGGAAATACAGCAGAAGATACGGCATTGGCAGAGCACCGGTCACACAATATGCTTCCTGGTCAAATCGCCATCCCGTTGCCATTTCTAACCAACTTCGCCCGCAGATGATTCCCTCTACGCACGGCCTTTGATTGTGCTAACTCCGGGGCCAGCGATCCCCCGCCCTTACCGCTGCGGATGTCACGGAGGTGAGCACCTGATGGGAATCTCGAGGTGTGCCACCAGAAGTTCAACTGAAAACGAAGGTGTCGTGGCTTCTACAGGAGGTCGCGGCTAACTAAGGGATTTTAGCCACTGGCAGCCGAATATCTAGGGCCGAACGCCGCCGGCCCAGGTTTTGGGCTCAAGCATCAATCTAGTCTAATCCCGAGCCCAAGGCGATGCAGGTTCGACTAAAGAATTCCCGTTCGGCTCGTTCCGAGTCTCTTCACTCGAAGGGATCCACCAATATGCTATCAATCACTGAAGTGGCTCACCTCTTCCACGCAGCATACGCCGCCATGCGCACCGCATATAAGGGGATGTGGCCAGTGCTTGCTGGTCATCGCCTCTATTCATCCCCCTTATCCTTCGTCGCTCATTTCTCATCCTGACATGTTACGTCTCGCCTTCCTCTCGTTGTTGACTGTCATTGCCACTGTGATCGCTGCTCCCTCATCAGGAAAAACCCCCTCAGCTAATCGAGCTAAGCGAGCTAATTTAGCGCTAAAAAGAGCTATTAGTCCATTAGTCCCATTATTTTAGTCCCCTACTAATTTAGAGCCATTACTTGCGTTACTGACCGAAGTGCTCCGCAGCGGCAGTCGTTCGGGATCTTCAAGCATCCATTCATGCAGTCATAGGTGTTATATAGACGATGATCTGATTCACTTGGAGACAGTACATATTACAAGACTATGTATATACGTTTACGACCTCCTAGATGTACTAAGTCCCCACGCCATATCCTAAATGCAACCTCGTCCCGACTATGTAGAGTACCACCACACGGCAGGGACCCTTTGCCCCAAAGCTAAGAATGTAGAGGCTCACCTAATAACAGGACAAAACGCTGACTGCAGTTGCACGATGATATATGAAAAGACCTACCTTCAGTGTTACGCTACACACCCCGCCGCTGCCTAGGCAGCCTCACGCCATCACGCCACTCACCTGATTGTTGGCTGCTATTACTCACTCACCATCTTAAGATACATCTCGTTGGGAGGGTATGGCGGTACTGCACGCTCAACCTGGACGCACCGATAAACGTTAAACGTTGAAGCTACGCATACTAAGCCTGCCGCCAGCAATTTCAAGGATAGTTTATGTTCATAAGCATAGGAAGGGGGAGAGTCCCACGATTATCGAGCAGGTATACATGAAGCAAGCCTTCACGATAAAGCAAGACTAGGGACGACGAAACGACGTCGCGGAGCAGGGGGAGACGTGGCAACAGGGACCATCAAGCGCGCACTCGGACGCGGCTCCAGAGGGAGCGCCCATGTTTAGGGCAAGCACGCAGAGACTTGGCGATGTGCGGGAACGGTCGTTCTCTCCTTGAACCTCTCTGGAACATGCATTGGTCGAGTTTTGAGCAGGTAGAACTGTATTTCTATTGATAATGAGATGCAAGGTACCAGTTTAGCACTCAAAACTCCGGATACAAGGTAGATTCCTAGAAAGGGTCTGATTAGTCGGCATTAGTACTAATTTATTGCTAATTAGCGCAGGGGGTTTTTCCTGATGCTCCCTTGTGCTCGAGGTATCGGGCCCCTCAAACGTCTATGCCATCGACAACTTCAACATCACCACCACGGTGAAGAACACTGGCGACGAGGTCGTCCGCCTCCTCAACCATCCTCGCGGTCCATTGTCCGACTTGCCGACGGATTCGTTCACCATCACGAACCGGCATGGTCTCAGCCCGGACTTCGTCGGCATCAGCGTGAGTCATGTTTAGTTGGACACCTGTGTGGACTCAGGGCTGATACAGAGTCGAACGTGTTCAGGCCAAGTATTCCCCATCGGCGGCTCTTGCGTCCAACGATCATCATGCGTTCACTGTGCTTGCGCCTGGACAGTCGGTTGAGGTCCACCATGACAGTACGTTGTCTCCTATTAGTAATGCGAGCACATCTCAGGCGTTATGATTGCTATCTAGTCTGGGCTGCATACGACTTCTCGGCGTCTGGTCCTGGTCAGTATATAGTATCGATGAAGGACTTCAATTCGCTCTACTACGTCGCCGATGCCAAGCCCAGGGCGGTCATCGGTGCTAGTGGCCCCCCCTTCCATATCATCAACGTTGGCGGCGATGCCAGACCTTACAAAGATCGTGCTGATGCACACGATGGCGGCTACTGCAAGGATTGGCAAGATCGCGCGATTGTCACCGCCATCTCTCTGGCGGAGAAATACGTTGACCACGCTGTCGAGTGAGCTCCATTCGCCAAGGACCTTACTTAGGCTACCGCACTAACCACCATTCATAGGGTTCTAGAGAAGAGTGGCCCGAACAGCGCCTCATACAAGCGTTGGTTCGGCCCTATGCTCCACAGTGACAGGCACGCTTCGGTCGTCAGCCACTTTGCGACACTCGCTCGCAGCGACTTCTCGAAGTACACGTACAGGTGCAACGCTCGCTTCTGTGGCAATCGCCCTGGTGTTTTGGGATACATTACTCCCAACGAGTAAGTCCGCGGCGAAATACCGGGTTTGACTCACGAGCTGACGGGTACTTGCTTCAGATTCGGCACGATCACTCTTTGCGACTCGGTATTTAATGCCGAAGTTGGCGGATACAACTCGCGTGCGTCTACCATTGTCCACCAGGTAATCCTACCATATTCCTATCCGCACAAGATGAGCCTGACACTCTGCAAAGGCTCTTCAAATCGCAAAGCACGGCGACACGGACGGGCACACAAGCGGCGAGGTCTTCGCCCAGCATCTCGCACGCGCATACCCGTACCGCGCGACGACGAACACGGAGAACTACGAATATTTCGCCGTGTCCGCTTTCGGCGACGGAGACGGCGTCGGGCAGAGCGACGCCTCCGTGATGCTCACCCAAGTCCACTTCGGTAAAAACATCTTGGACTTGTGACTCGTACGGTAGCAGGGCACATTCTTACGTACGATCTTCGTCCGTTGCGTTTAATAGAGAACTTGCGTGCGATTGACGGGCGGTTGCTCATGCCGACAGTAGATGAGGCGGCCGGGCTGGCCGGGTTGGCGGCTGTGGACGTTTGTGCTATCCTTTCCAGATCCCAAATTTCTTCGTTCGTTCTGGCTTGGGAGACGCGATTACCCCTGTGGCACTCGGACCTGTTGAGTCGCGAGGCTCTCCAAAAGGGCTTCTTTGTGAAATCGCAGCTCTTTCGCGTCTCGCTTGTTATAATATGGCATTGTTGAACAATACCACAGTAGTATGTGCATCATTTCTGCTGGTATGCAATAACACTTGTCAGGTCGCTACCGAATTTGCTTTTGGGTGGACGTACGGCTACTTGGATAGCTAGTTGGTTCACGGCGACGAACGAGCAGGCCGCTGACATTCTCCGCCCTTGGGAATCGTGCATCGGTCTCATGGGCCGTGCTCATCCCACCCTATCTGCAATCTGGCTGGGGAGGATCGTGGTCAAGGTGAGAGACTTGGTATAGTGTATTATGTCCAACATAACTACTGGATCGTCCTTGACGTTACTTGAGGGACCAATGTTCTACAAAATCAACCCTCTCTGTTTCCTCACGTCGATAATGAAAATTGGCACAACTCAAAAGAGCTGATTCGTGGTGAACGTTGGGATACCCCGCACACCGATGCTGTCACCGGCGTGACTGTGCCACGAGCTGATTCAAGTTGAGTCAAGTTTCCGAGAGTGGCTCCTGCGGTTTTCTCTCTCAACAAGTCAGCTACTTATCTGAGTCCGGTTGGCTTCATCATTCCCGCAAAGACTAGTAACTCCTGCGTGACCCTGGTAGTAATGCGCATTGAGCCTTCGACTCGGAGTTGCCCATGGCCCACAATGGGACAGCGCTATAGGATGCTGTGCCGGACGCGTGACGTCACGCGTCGCCTGTCGCCCCGACTGGCGCAAGCGCTCAATATAATCCAGTACGGTCGATGGATTGATTTTTCAATTGTTTTGTGGTGGCAGTATATCATGATTTATGCCAGCGAGAAAGTCACGGTATTGGCCTTGCATCTGTTTGATAATATGAATAACCTCCGACTGTTCTGTGTCACTAGTGGCTTGCCACGATCATCGATGAGTGTCAGGCCGTTGATTCTTCCTTTCGGATGGGCATACTAGGTTTAGTTCGGACCTGGCAAGAAGAAATCCTGTACAGTTTGACGGTCGGAAGCTCCGTTATTGTCTTCCAAGACAGCTGATGAATCTCTCGCTGCCATTGATGGTGATCATCTTGACTTCGCAGAAAAATTCGAACGGGGGAGTCTTACCAGGTTATCGATCTAGACGATAGCGACGACGAGCAATCGGTATAGAAACCGACCCATAACGGAATCACGTGAATCAGCTGCAACAATGTATGTTTCTCCAAGCCACGCTATAGCTACAATATGATGATGGTACAGATGAGAGCTAATAATACAGCCAGCAAAAATACAACAGGGCAATGCGACGATACATTGATGATACACGAGTGAGAAATCGACGGCAGCACGTCATCTAGCCACGCCTTCTGCGTCGCCCTCCTGACTCACGGCCTGAGCCACAGGACGCAGCTCCCGCTACGTAGGAAGGGGGGGAAGCAGGTCAAGGTGTCCACGGTGTGTGCGCTCGACATGTTGGGACACATCGCCGGCCCTGGTCCCCTGCCACGAGCACTCCAGGCCGTGCAGGGTGAGCAAGCACCCCCACCTCGCATGCCAGTGAGCTGCCTTCACGTGCCGAACGAACGTGTTTCCCTTGTCCGTCTTGCCGCAAGCGGGGCACACGATCGCTCCGTTCGTGTTGAAGATGTGGCCATCTTCGACGTGCTCCCTGAAGTGCTCCGTAACGTTGCACTTCGGCCGGGCAGCGCCCGCATCCCCGCCCTCGCCCTTGCCCGTCTGCACCAGTTGGAACTTCTTGGTGCACGTCGGCCACGGGCACGGTGCGTCGGGCATGACCGTGCAGAGACGGTCGAGGACGTCGACAGGGACACGCGGCCGCTTGGACTTCTTCGGTGCGTCGACGTTCACTGAGGAGCCACCCGGCAACCTCTTGCGCTTCGCGGAAGGTGCACGGGCGGTGTAATCGTCGTCGTCGTCATCGTCGCCGTCGACATCGTCGTCTTCTTCGGGTTCCCGACGCCTCTTGCCACAACCAGCGGAGGCAGAGGGACAGACGACGTACTCCTCGCTTCCGTTGCTGTCGCCCGCGTGGTAGGCCGTGCCGACCTGGTTTTCCTTTCCGGCGGGGCGGGCCCGTGTCTGAGGCTGCTTGCCTCGAGCCTTCGCCGACAACGCAGCCGTTGGTACGACTGCCGGCTCCCCCCGCCCACTTGCTGCTTGGCCTCTCCCCGGCCTTGGGATGGGGCCTTGGCTGGGTGGCGGAGCCGTCGACGACGACGCGACCCCTTGCGCCTGTATCCGGGTCGACCGCCGGACCACGACACCTTGGAGGGCCGAGATGAGCGACCACATTGAGGTACGAGAATATCAATGCTTACCGTTAAGGGGAGCGCTCGTGAGCGCAGAGTTGCCTGGACGAGGTCCAGGGACGGTGAAGTAGGCCTCGGAGGCGATGGCGGTTGCCTCTTCGACGTCTGTCGCAATTGGGGATATTAGCGCATTGTCTACCTTGAAAGGAGCAGAGCTTACCATCTGTTTCGTCCTCGTCCTCGTTCTCATCCTCGTCCTCATCCTCGTCCTCCTCGTCTGTCTCGTCTGTCTGGTCCTGACCATCTTCCTCTTCGGAGCTCTCCTCAGAGCCTACTGCCCCGTCTACCCCTCCCTCGCCATCCGCATCATCGTTTCCCTCCGCCCCATCCCCATCCCCTCCTTCCCCCTCGTCCTCCTCAGCCACGGCCTCTCCTTGCAGCCACGCCAGCTCGTCCTCCTCTTCCTCATCTGCGCCGAACCACGGAATGAGCTCCGCACCGCCCTGCACACCCCAATCATAAGTAAGTGCCGGACGACGCGACGAGTGAGATGCTGCACACTTACCCACAAGCCTGCCATCGTTCTCTGCCCGACGCCCTGAGGGCACGGCACATCCTCAGGAATCCAGGGCAACCCGGACATGGCGAGATTGGTGGAGACGTTGTTGCGCATGGTGGTGGGTGGTGGGTGGTGGGTGGTGGGTGGAGAGGGTGGTTGGGCGTCTGGGCCTCAGGTCGCCGCGTCGCTTGTGTTTAAATCCTCTGTCCCCCGCGTGGTAACGTGACAAACGCGAACGAACGACGCGTCGACACTCAACAATCTAGCACACACAACACTGCCGTTCTTTCAGACACAATCCACCGCAGTTAAACATGCGCGCTCACCTGCTCCAGTACCGGAGGCCCACCCCGTCTCCTCCCCCACACCACCTCTGGCTCCCTCATTCCTCCGCCCTTCTCTACTTGTCCTCTCGAGCACATCATCGACCGCATCACCCACCATCATCCCAGCCGCGTCCCTCACGTCCTCCTGCCTATCATTTCCCCCGTTCTTTACCTTCCCGCAAACGACACCAGACCACCCGCGACCATGCGCATCCCATCCCGAGCATTCAAACACGACACATACCTTCGCAGCGCGTCAACAACGTCTACAAGCCATTCACCATCAGGATTGCTCTCTCGACCACGGACCTCGACTTCGATCACCATCTACAGGCGTCACTCGCTCGACGCCTATAAATGCACGCGTTCTCGAAGACGGCGACTGTGCGAGCATCATGTAGGGAGAGGATAGGGAAGGTATGAATCCAACGGCAGACCCAGGTGCGTCGTAAATACCTCGAGATCCGGTCGCCATTGCATTCCCAAAGCCCCTCCGCACCCCACCAATAGACAACTCAGGCCTGTGCACTAGTGGCCACGACCTCGTCAATGTGCCATCGCTTTGTCGCTTTGTCGCTTTGCCGCCGGATGCGAGCGAAGCTCACCTTCCACCCTGTTGTGGCTTTTGTGTCCAATACCATCACCAATACCACCGCTACATGCGTTCTCGCCCCAAAGCAGCTGCGCGCGAAGAACGCGCACTAACAGCAGGTGTCCAGCGTCCTCGCTACGCCTCAGACAGTCGCTGACATTACTCGCGACGCAGACCTTCTTGCCCAACGGGCGCGCGCACGGTATATTTGCGCTACGGCCCGCGAGCACAACGGCTAATTGGGAGTCGCCTACCTGTGCCTCAACTGCATGGCGAACCGCAACAGGCAGCGAATGTGCACTTGGGAGAATGGTTGGACCCCCGTCCACACACAACTCTATACATGCACTGGGGTTCACATCAAGGAGGCAAGTCTTTGCTTGCCGTGCTGTACTGAGCGCACACGCTGACGGTCTGACAGCCCCGGCACTCCAACTATCGCTGTTCTAGACACCATGTCGATGCATCCGTCATGGCAAAGGACGAGGCCGTCTGAGTAACCCTCACAATATTGCTGCTTTATCATTCCTGTGGTGAGTGCCGCCTCTCAACGTGTTCCCGTTGCGCGAAGGCACTCATCCTCTGCTGCGATGTAGCGCCGGATGAGCATATAGACGCCCATTTCGTACCCTTCCTTTGTCTGGGGCTCCGGAACAACGTTCCTTGCCATAGCCATATCCTCCGCCTCTCCATGCGTGCGCACACAAAAAACATGGTACGCACCTTGTCTCAGTTTCGTTGACCACAGGCGAATCTGGTCAAATCCCCTTCGGAGCTGGTGGTTAGGGAGATACCGGAGGATGAATCGCATCACCTTCAGCGACCGACCAACTTTGTGTCGCATGCATTCTGGAATGGTTTCACCTCTACCATCCAATCTGTGACGGCTATGGGGTCTCTGTTGCAAAAGAGCGGATTTCTGGACTTCGTCTGGCAGGCAGGTTTGCGCGTCAGCCTCCATATCGTTGACTCATCAGCGACACACTATTGTACCTGCTTGTCCGGTGGTTTGTGTGTGCATGGCAAATATAAGGCCTCTTTACAACGTACTCGGTGCTGCCAGGGATATCTCGCAGCGCAAGATGAGAGTCACAGACCAACTTTTGCGAGATCAGTCTTGTTGCTCCGGCGTCTGATGTCGCCTTGTTCTCACTACGGTATCACGACGTCTCTGAGCTCCTTCTTCTCATCACATGTCGCTCTGCGCCGGTTGCGCCTTCCAGCGGGACTTGTCGACGGCCGAGGCTGCGAGGGGCGACCCTACCACGACTATATCCGAACGGAGCGCAGATCGAACACGCCATATACACGTTGAATCGACGCAACATCTGTACCGTGGCCGCGGCGGGTCGTCGTCGACGTTGCAACTCGTCCATCATATGTATGCGATAGTAACCGGGACTCGTTGGAGCAGGGATCTTGTGCTTATGGCCCGAGAAGGAAGCCGCGTGGCGGACATGGGTCTGCTAGCTACGGACGACTATGTATGTCCTTTCAATGAGTGCAAGAATGCAACCATCCCCGGGATCTCCCTCTTACGCAACATAAGGCTATATGCTCTATTGTGTCAGGACAGTGTCCATGCGAGTCTGCCCTCGTCGTTGAGATGATACGGCTGTTCACCTCGATCGTAACCACGTGGCCCTGTCCACCAGGAACAGGGCCAGATGCACGTCTGAGTTAGCAGCATACGTATATATGCGTATAGCTGTGGCTTGACTGTGAAAGCTGTGGTCGAGCTCGAGGCGGGGGCTGTCGAGTAGGAGCAACAACATCGCTGATTCGTTCCATCACAAGATACAACCCTGGCAGCAGGTTGCAGCCCCACAACAGTGTTCGTGCGACGCTGCCTAGCCACGCACGCACGCAGCCCCTTGCCTGCACCAAGTCCAGCGTACTGGCGGTCTCATGGATGCCCGAACGTTATCCATCGTCACCGAGGAAGCTGGAGGAGATTGCTTCGTCGGGGCATGTGACCGGGACGAGCAGCGAGACTACAGCGGTCGCAGAGACAATGCCGGGTACGAATGCATGTCAACAGACATCTCATCAAGACAAACCCGGCGCGGCCGCATTCCCTCTGCTCTTCTCAACTCTGTGTCTACGGTTTGGATACTCTTGCCCCTTATTGAAATGACACGCCAAATACTAGGATTTGCGGCCGAGGAAGCCCCGCCGAGCCTTCTCCATTAGCACTCCCTCGAGTGCAAACTACCGCGCTGACAATACTCAAAGTTTGCTAGGTACTAGTCATGAATAGCACATCTCGAAGCTGAGTCAAGCACCTGGACTTCCAAGTTGTACGGCGACGAGCCGGAGTATCCCAGAATCACAGATGGACCAGACAGCCTTCCGAACGCGTCCAGCGAGGTCCCGGAGGCACTGGCACACGGAGGACATCTAATCCAGTTGCTAGGTTCGGACGAATGCTCTGATATCCTCTCCTCTATGCACGATCTTCGTCTCTATGTCCTCTCGCGCAGGAAGTCATTGGCGTGATGTCGACCCGGAGACTCGACGCTTCTTGCTGTTGACCGTGACCATTGGAAGACGCGGATTTGATTGGAACCACGATTCAACTGTGTAGAGTACCGCCTCCTCAAATGAAGTCGCCAAATCGACGAGATGAGCGCTTGATCTACGGGCTACGCAGTAGGCTACGTTGGCTCACATCTACATAGGGCGAAGCTCGCTAAACAGTGTCGGGGCCGGCGCTACGCGAAGCCCTGTTCGATGCGTGACGTCACGCATCACCAATCGCTCCCTGCCGGCACGATTTCTGAACGTTCGGTAGGGAAGGTCCTCATATGAAACTACCACCTTCGCAAGCCCGCAGTTCGCACAATGTTGTCGTTCTGTCCAATTCCTTTACGAAGAGTGCCCAGCGGGACGATTGCGGTAACACAAGCGCTCGCTGATGATCCGCCGCCGGCACTCCAGCGCGATTTACAGCACTCAATCACTCAATTACTATCGGCTAGCTCACTCTTAAGTTCCACAGATCCTGCCGATGTCAATAACCGAGAGAACACTATACATAATCGGAACTGCTTGAGCGCGCAGTCCGTATTTAACACGACTATGGCCGGTGTCGTGTCGCCGCCGCCCCTGTCCCACCCCGCCTTTCTCGTCCTTCGTCTCTGGTCCTTCGTGTCGACATGTTCCCTCTCGCTTTCCTGTCGCTTTTGACTGTTGTTGCTACTGTAATCGCTACTCCCTCCCTGTTGCTCGAGGTTTCGGGCCCCTCCACCGTCTATGGCATCGACAACTTCAACATCACCACCACGGTGACGAATGCTGGCAATGAGGCTGTCCGCCTCCTCAACCATCCTCGCGGTCCATTGTCCGACTTGCCGACGGATATGTTCACCATCACGAACCGGCATGGTTTCAGCCCGGACTTCGTCGGCATCAGCGTGAGTCATGTCTACTTGAACGCCTGTGTGGACTCAGGGCTGATACAGAGTCGAACGTGTTCAGGCCAAGTATTCCCCATCGGCGGCTCTTGCGTCCAACGATCGATATGCGTTCACTGTGCTTGCGCCTGGACAGTCGGTTGAGGTCCACCATGACAGTACGTTATCTTCTAGCGGTAATGCAAGCATATCTCAGGCCTCGTGAATGATGTCTAGTCTCTGCTACATACGACTTCTCGACGTCCGGCCCTGGTCAGTATGTAGTGATGATGAAGAACTTCAATACGTTCTACTACGTTGCAGATGGCAAGATCTCGGCGCTCGTCGGTGGAAGCGGCCACGCCTTCCATACCATCAATGTCGTCGGCAATGCTAGGTCGCACAAGCAGCGAATCGACGCGCATACTGGCGGACACTGTGAGATCTGGCAGAAGCGCGCGATCGACGCCGCGGTTCCCCTGGCCGAGAAATATGTCCGCCATGCCCTCGAGTGCGGTCCCTTCCTCATTACCTTGTACATACTGGGGCGATGCTGACTACCTTTCCAGGGACTTGGTGAAGGGTGGCCCAAACAGCGCGGAATACAAGCGCTGGTTCGGCCCTGCGCTGCATGGTGACAGGCACACTTCGGTCTTCAGCCATTTTGAGACGCTCGCTGGCAGCAACTTCTCTGAGTACGCGTACTTTTGCAATGCTCGTTTCTGCGCGAACCGCCCTGGTGTCCTCGGATATGTTGTGCCCAACCAGTGAGTCTCGAGTCTTGAGGTCTGGGGTGTCCCTTGAAGTATCGCGGAACTAATGCACCGTCTTTGCAGTTTTGGCGCGATCAGCCTCTGCGACTCGTTCTTCGATGCGGAAGTGGGCGGCCACAACTCGCGCGCGTCCACCATTCTCCACGAGGTACGTCTAACATACTATTGTCTCCCTAACGCGACCCGTTACCTGACCCCGTCCGACAGGCTCTCCACTTTTCGAAGAACGGCGCGACGGACGAGCACGCGCACGGCGAGACGCTCGGCCAGGAGCTAGCGCGCAGCTACCCGCACCTCGCGGCGACGAACGCGGACAACTACGAGTACTTCGCCGTCGCGGCCTTCGGCGACGGCCCCGGCCAGGGCGACGCCTCCGTTCTGCTCACCCAGGTCCACTTCGGTAAACACATCTTGGACTTGTGACTCGCGGGGGCGCAGGACGTGTTCTCATCATGCGCACCTTGTGCCGGCCGGGTTTTGACAGAGAACGTGCGGGCGGCGGCGACTGACGCGCCGCTGTTGATGCCGACGGAAGAGGAGGCGGTCGGGTTGGCGGGGTTGGCGGCTATGGACGGTTTCTTCATCCCTTTCCGGTGATTTGCCAAATCGGCTTTCTTGATGAGCGTCCGCTCGTTTGGGTCTCGTTTGCTATCCACCTGCTATTGGCGGATTTTACCTCAGTATATTGTATCTAGTCTCTGCCGCTGTGCAATAATCATTAGGTCGCGGTCATGTCATCTTCGACTCATGTCTCTCCAACATTGGCCCGAGACCGAGCTGGAGGTCGCGCTGCCGTGGTGATCTGCCATGGTACTTGTATGATTTCAAAGAGTGATTCGCATCTGCAGGACAGTGATGTACATGTCCGATAGCCGCGATACAATAAATAGTATCTTGACGTAGTGTATGTAGGAAGGTGAAGTAGTCGTGTGAAGCAAAAATCGGCAGTCGGCTGAAGTATGTCCCCTAGAGGGAAGCGGACGAAGCGGTACCTGTGGCAGAACTTGTGGCAGTCGCAGACGCGGAAAACGAGGTAGCGGAGCCTATAGCCGTTGCAGAAGCTGTAATAGTAGTCGAAATGCCACTGATAGTCTCGTTCGCGCCGGCGAGCCAAGCCTTGAAGATGTTGAATTCGATATTGCGCGCCTGGACAGACGCTTGATTAGCTGCGTCAATAGGCTCGTGTCAGGATAGAACGTACTGCAGTGAGGGAGGACGGATCAGTCGCATTAGGCCGGGCAAGGTCTTGTCCGTGCCCGGTGCCGGCGACGAACAATACAACTGACTTATCAATATCCGTGCTGACGTTGTCGCCCAGCCAGTCCGGAGGTACCGCGACGCTCGTAGTGGGATCATACTCGTTCTCGCTGAAGATGATGTGCGTCGAGTTCCCGATGTCCTCCCGGGTGACGTTGTACCTCGTGAGGACGTCTGCCCCGTTGACCTGTGTCAGGTTAAATAGTGTCTCGCATGTCGCCGACGGGCTGCTGCTCATCCCTAGTCCGGGAGAGCCGATGTTGAAGATGCTGTCGTTGGCGATCGCGAGGTTGAGCGGGAACCAATTGCATTGCGCCCACATGAAAGGTATCTCTTGCACGCCGAAGCCACTGTTCTGTGCGTCCGTGTAGTTCAGGCAGCCATTCACTGCGTCCAGACCGTGCGCATGCCAAAGCGTCTGGTTGATGCCGGCGAGGGGCGTCGGGGCGGCAAGGGTGTCGTTGACAACAACGTCAAGCGAGTTGCCGGAGACGTTGAAGAAAACGGCAGGTGGGAGACCGTTGAACTGTGACATGGTGGTGTATGAGGAAACGAGGAAGGAGGCGAACGTGGCCAAATCGTCGCTGCTGTTACTCGGCGGGTGGCATAGCGAGAGCTCCTTTGTGAGGGTAGCATTATGACCTATGAGCGTAAGAATACAATGTCATGCAGTGTTATCAATTGTAGATGATACGACGAACCGGTGTCAATAAGCTGCTTCACCTGCGCAAAACCATTCCTGATGCGGTCGAATGCCTCGAGGGAGCGGTGAGCGTAGGTGCTCTGGACGTAGTTGTACCAGTTATGGAGCTCCGCCCCGACCTCATCCACAGTGCCGAGGGAGCGGAACGGTCCAGCTATACCCCATGCACCAAAGAAAGTGTCTGGGTAATTCTGACGGAAGACAGGTGCTAGGAAGCCACCATATGAGCCTGCACAGGAAGTTAGTATCTTCCGTAATCCAGGACGAAGCGACGACATACCGCCTGCGACGATTGTCTTTGACTTCGCCGCGCCGGTCACATTCTTCTTGACGAAATCCAAGAAGTGGACTGCGTCCTGCATGACGTTATCGAGAGTGAAAGGCTTCAGGTTGTCGAGAGTGTAAGAGTTGTTTCCGAACGGAAGGCTCTGACCAAAGTACCGGTGCTCAAGCGTGGCAACGATACCTCCAAGCTCTTTGGCCCAATCCATGAAAAGCAGTTCACTCTGTCGAGCCGGTGAGTCCTTGAACGACGTCATTTGTACAAGAGATATTCACGATGCAGGCAATGTCGGTGGCCTCAGGAGACTGGTAGAACAAGATCGGCCCGCCTTCCTTGAAGTTCGATGTGTCGATTTGGTACCTCTGTTTGAATGTCTGGCTCGAGTTCGTAGAAGCGTGGTCGATAGGCTGATCAAACCATTGGGTATCCGCGGGGCATTGGACTGCGCCGCCTGGATCACCCGCTGAGCTCTGTCGTGCTAGAAGCGTGACACAAGACGACAAATCAATCCGCGAGCGACTCGATCAGGCGATGATTCGACCTACCCGCGAGAATGTGCGAGCCAGGCCCTGGTGCAGCCAACGTGCCACCGACGACCGCGAGTATCAAAGTTGAAGTAGAGAGCCGCATGAAGAATTGCGAGATTAAAGAAGTGAGTATGGTGAGATAGCGAGGGCACAGACGACATTCATGCGCCTTTATACTCTTCCGGATCTTGGAAGTGTCGGTCCGCGGGTACGTCACTGGATCGCACTCGCAGTGTAAACTCAAGCCTGAGATCATCGCCATTGGACAAGGGGTATGCAGCGCAGTCGTTTCAACCGGGCGAATCGCTCTTCAATCAAGCAGGAGTACCGAATTTTCCATGTACGTGACGTCGGCTGCAGCTTACGGACCGAGTGGCGATTACTTCCACAACGAAGTCGGTGCAAGAGAACGTAAGATTCTGCGGTTGAGCGACGGGGCGCTCTTTAGGGGGCACTTTGCGCCCATTTGGGTGGAGCTAGTACGGACGTTCGTCCGGACCGAGTTCACTGGAACGGCAAAGAGGTCAGTCGACTGGCTACTAAGCTCGGCAGTGATGTTGCGGGACCTAATAACGGTCGCCGATACCAAACGGTACTCACATCGGCATTGTGCTTGATCCGACTCGGAGACTCGTCCTTGTCAGGGAAGTATGAAATTGTAGTGCATCTGGGTGACAGTGATGGCGGGAGGTTAACTAGTACGGAGCGCGACTCGCTGCGATCACCGCTGGCAAGATGTAACATAATCAAAGCGCCCGCAGTGGCTCACTTCGGTCCTCGGGGCTAAGTGACAGCCTACTCACGAGTACTAGCCTCAGTGATGGAGTATTTTGCATGAGAAGCCCGACAATCAATGTCAATAGACCTCGGGACATTTTGAGAATCCTCGGGGTCAGGCTGCTTTTCTGGCCCCCGGGTGGAACGCAGGCGCGGACTGTCTCCTTCAACATCCCTCCCAAAAATCCATACGATCCCGCTCACCCTTTCCATCGGCATCAACATACAGCAGGGAAATGGACGATGCGAGAAAGTGCCAGACAGACCGGTCAACGATGGGCAGCACATGGGAGTCATTAGACTTATTCATTTAGAGTCCGTTTGCCCTTCATACATCGTGAACTTTAGTGAACACCTCAGATACACCGAAAGCAAGAGCTAGCGTTCAGAAGTTTCCACCTGAAAGACACCATCTAGAGATCAAAACTTGTATGGCAGCACAGTCGAGGTGGAAGGACGCACCGGAGAACTTGCTGAGGCCCTGACGAAGCTGGCCCGCGACCGAGTTCGCCGTGTCTGAATCCTAGAGGAAATGTGTATGTGTGAGCAGGGCTCAAGATACACAACCTCACACCAAGAGGGAGGGGGCACAGTTAGTACATACCAGGTTGTATCCCGCCTTCTGCGCGGCGTACTCGACGCCCTTCTCCACCCAGTCTCCGGAGCCGGTTCCGCTGGAGCTCGAATTGGTAGTGTTCGAGTTGGCAGTGTTCGAGTTGGAGCCGTACGAGTCGGACGAAGAGTTGTCGTTTCCACGGTCGGAGGAACCGTAGTTGTCCGATTTGTTCGACGAAGCATACGAGTCGTTGTTGTTGCTCGAGCCGTACGAGTTGCCGTTCGAGCCGTTCGGGTCGTTGCTCGACCCGTAGCTGTTCGAGTTGTTCGACGAGCCGTAGCTTTCGTTGCTGTTGCTGTTGTTGTTGGCGCCATAGTTGTCGTTGTTTGAGGATCCCAAGTTGCTCGAGCCGTACGAGTTGTCGTTGGTAGCGTCGCGCTTCGAGGAGCCGTACGAGTTGTTGTTGTCGTTGGACGAGGAGTACGAGTCGGCGTTGTTGCCGCCGTACGAGTTATCGTTACGGTTGCCGCCGCTCCCATACGAGTCGTTGTTGGCGCTACCGTAGGAGTCGGTACTACTGTTGTTGTTGTTATTGTTGTTGTTAGACCCATAAGAGTCGTTGTTGCTGCCGTACGCATTGTTCGCCGCAGAGTTATCGTTCCGGGACGAACCGTAGCTGTTGTCGGAGCTACCGTACGAGTCGTTGGAGGAGCCGTAGTTGTCGTTCCCGTATCCGGACATGGCGTACGATGATTCAAAGAGAGGCGAGCGAGACGAATTGGGGGTGGGTGTGCAAGTACTGCTCTTCACTGTCGTGCTTTCCCTGCCATTTATACGTCAGAACCTGAGCATTGCTTGAGATGGGCCTCCACAGGTCCCGCCAGGGCTCGAAGACCGGAAGCGGAGTTTGGAGGACCGGATCGAGGGCGATGATTGTTGACAGTTTCAGGACGGGAGCTGGAATGGAAGAACCTAATGCAAGTCAAGTGTAGGGGCGGCGGCCGGCAAGGACCAGAATGATGATTAGTGGCGTCTGGGGTAGAACCAATCGGCCATCAATAGCGCCGGAAGGCGGGGCAGGATATCGATGAATGCAGCCAATGGCAGGCGGCAACCAAGACAAACTGGCATAATAGACAGCCTTCTCGCTCACACGTCAGGCAGGCACTGGGTATGATGAATGGAGGAAAGAAGTGAGCATTGCGGAACAAGACGTGCGAGTTGGACCTAGCGGATGAAGATGGCTATTCTGAAGCCAAGGCGCGACGCTCGATTGGATTGGAAGGCGTCATCGGCCACAGAGAAGAGCGGATGCTGTGATAGGGGGAAGGCGAATACGATCGGAGCCCGAAGAGTTCTGGTGTAAAAGGCGGAAGGAGAAAACGACCGAGAGGCTAATTGCTCTGCAACGAACTCGCCGCGAATAGGCCAGTCACGTCGGAATGCGTTTCCGCGTGGCGGAATAACGATCATGTGATAACATCATGATCAGTATCGTACAAAGATGTCCGAGTCATGTATAAGATATGGAGGGCAATCACCACCCATACGTGCGCGCCTCAGAGGTGTTCAGCGTCAGAGACACATCCGCAAGCCACCTCGAGAAGAGGTCGAGCGACGCCTCGGGTTGATCGAACGGCACCATGTGGCTGTGGAGTTACAAACGCACGTGTCAGCGGACGGGCCGTTTCGAAATGCATGAGGATACGCACCCAGCAGCGTGCACCTGGACATAGGTGATGTTGCCCGCAGTAAAGCCATCTCCGCCAGCGCTGCGCACCCAGCCCGAAACGTCGCCCTTGTTGAGCGTCACCCACGGCTGCTTCGTGGTCTTCTTGAACTCGGGCTGGAACTTCGTCTCTAGCTCCTCGACCCAACGCTCGTTTCCAACGTAGTTGCACGCCATATCCGCATCACCAGCGTAGATAAGGACGCGGATGCCGTTCTCGACAAGCTCGGGCAAGAGCTTCGCGCGATTCCGAGCGCCGTCACCTTGGAGCGCGAAGGCCTGATTGACCTGCATGTTGCAGCTCGCGAAGTCGATCGATGGGTTGACGCCAAGCTGCCTCTTGACCTCAGGGGAGTTCATCCAGGTCTCGATCCACTGGAGCTCTTGGTAGCAGAGATCACCATCCTTGGACCTGTCGCAGTCGCGACGGGTGTCATAGACGTTCTTGCCGGTCTCTGTGGGGAGATGAGCGTCAGCGGCTTGTGACTGCGGAGGTACTCAAAATGGGGCTACGCACGGACAACGGGTCCCATGAGTTGGCTGTTGCAGTACAGGAGCGCAGGAACACAGGTGAAGCGAGAATCGTAGTTGTAGCAACTCTGGATGAGCCGCTGGCAGGTAGGGACCTTCGTGCGGAGGGCCTGGCACTCAGGGCCCTGGGGATCGCTGAAGACCGGGTACTCGCCTTCGCATGCGGCATCGGGCACGCTTGCGAACTGATGGTAGGGGTCGGTCAGGCCATTGCCAACGATGATAGACTCAAGGTTGATGTGCTGGAGCCCAGGTGCGACAAGCGTTCCGGCAGCGAGGTCGACGTTCTTGTGGTACACGACGCTCGCGATGCTCGGCGCGTACATACCGCCATAACTCTCAGCAGCGATGTGGAAGGGGAGCTTGGAGTACTTGGGGAAGCGGGCGAGGAAGAGCTCGAGGAATGCCCAGACGTCCTCCGCCGCGACCGGGGTGGTGTTCACGGAGGTGCCATCCTCAGCGTACGAGTAGCCGACGTTGACCGGCTGGTCGAGGAAGACGACGTTTGCGGACTCGGTCCACGAGTGGGGGTTGAGCGTGACGTTCTTGCCCTCGTCCGCGATGCGGCACGGGCCGAGCTCGAAGAGAAGGCCAGTGGTGGAAGAGCAACCAGGGCCGCCGTTGAGCCACAAAACCAGAGGAGCCTCCTCGGGGTTCTGGCGGGCCTCGAAGAACCAGAAGAAAAGGTGCTTGTCGTCCGCGATGTCGAGATAACCCGACGCCTGCTGCACGGAGGGGTCGCAGATAGTCGGCTCGGTCATGCGAAGCTGATATTCCTCAAACGCGGGGTGTGAAACGAGTTCGTCTGAGATGTTTCAGAAAAGCAATTCTATTAAGCGATTTGGCTACTCACAAGTAATATCGTGCTGCTTGATGAACTCCCTTCCGTCCTGTACCCATTGCGTGACGCGTTGCTCGCCCTTGTGGAACACGTCTTCGGCGGCATGCTGCCAGTCCTTGGCAACGCGACTGAGGTCGTCGAGCACGACTTGCTCGCCCGTGGGCACCGCAAGTACGACCGTCGAGGCCAGGAGCGTCAGAAAGGGTAGCAGGGTCGTCGATAACGCCTTCATCACTGTAGTCGTGGAGGTCGTCGACAAAGGTTGCAGTTGCTCTGGGCCGCAGGCAGGGGACGTCATCCGTAGCCGGCGCCCAACTCAGCAAGTACCCGCTTTCGGAAAGGCGAGATTAGATTAGATTGCAAGCCGGCGGTTATGGAATGAGCTGCCCTTCGCAAATGTGCAGTATACCAGCCATCTCATTCCCGAAAAATAGTCCTACAGTCCACGACGACGATAGTACTCGTCTCGAAACTCGAAATCAGATACATGCCAATCTTACAGCTCCTACGCATTTTACACTAGATTGACGCTCATCCCTGGGGACGTCGTGATCTCCTTGATCGTCTGCCCCTTGTGCACGAATCGAACCCGCCTCCTTGCAGCGAAAGACTCCGCCGATACCTTCAAGGACGTTAGACCCTGAGGGGCCGGGGCCCACGAAAACTCGATGCTGATGCCGCCACGAAGCCGTGCGTTCTTGATGGAGCCGCTGGGCCAGTTGGACGGGAGCGCAGGGAGGATGAAGACGGTGTAGATGTCGCCCGTCGTGGCTACGTCCGGCACTTGGATCAGACCGTTCTAATAGAAAAGTGAATGAGTGCTACAGCACGCGATGTTGGGGCAGACGAAGGCTCGTACGAGGAGTGCGGCGGGGAAACCGAAGTTAGCGTCGATCTGGAAAATCGCGCCCTCGCCTTGCGAATAAAGGCTAAACAAGTTCGGCGCAAAGTTGCGCTCGAGTGCGTACTGTGACGAAACTCTGATCTACATTCCGGATATGGATTGAAACGCGGCAGCACTCACAGTGAGCTCGTGGTAGAACTCGGTCGCATTCTGGAGTTGCGCCCAACATGCCGCGCGCCAGACCTTCTCCCAGCCCGAGTCGGCGTCAGGCCCTGTGCCATTCCCGCGATGGATAAGACTCGTCGTAGCAGCGGCGATGACTTCATCATGAGTGTAGTTCTCAGCGGTCGCTTGAACGGTAGCGTTGTAGCCCGATACGGCGTATCCGGGATAAAGGCCGACAAGGTGGGAGAGGTGGCGGTGGGTGTCGGTAGGCGAATCCATGTCCACCTTCCATTCTGCGATGTAAACGCGTATGTCAAGAACAACGAAGTGAGCTAGAAGACAGTACGGACCTTGGAGTTGGCCCCAGGAACCGATATGGATGCCCTTGTCCATTTGCTCTCGCTTCGCGCGGACCTCTGAGATAAAAGCATTGAGCCATGTGGGCATGTGAGGGGCTGTGCTAACGCACCGTCAAGGAAGGCAGTATCAGTATCGCCGGAAATGGCGAATCCCTTGTCGATGGCATTGAACAGCTGCCAGATGAGCTGCTGGGCGTGGGCACACCCTAAAGCCCATCTTAGTGCATCTGTCGAAATGTGAGAGGTCGGATGTGCGTAATGGCGCTCACCGAGAGTGATCGGAACCTGTTCGGGAGAGTTGCACGGGTTGACCACGAGGGTCGAGTCGTTGAAGCGTTCGTCAGGAACGAGTTTCTGCAGGTGGAACTGTGCAACACTCTGCATATTCGACGTGAGTGCGTGCGGCAAGCCAAAAGCCTTCAATAAGGGTCTCACCTTCAGGAGCGGCCATCCCTGAGCTTTGAACCAATCGCTGTCCTGAGTGAAGTCAAAATGATCCCAGACGTGAAGCATCTTCGCAAGCGCATCAGCCATGTTTTCGCATAGTCTTTTGACGCGCATACCATCCATGCGTTGGACTCTGAAAGGGTGTAAGACTTCCGTAAAAAAATCATTGGGGCTACAGACGTACCGGGGTAGTCGGCCCACGACGCTGTGTTCCCACCTCCCTTCATGCCGGTGTGCCCGAAGATCTAGCAGCATGTATTTCAGTGACTCGCCGTTACTTTGAACAGCAGAGATTCATCATACGTTCATCTGGTAATTTAATATTGTAACCAACGCTGCGACAACGCGGATATGATATCACGGACCTCGTTGTGCGTTACCCATCCCTCGGAGATGTTGTACAGGTATTGAGCAGTGAGAGCACCGCGAGGAGCCCACGTTTTCTGTAGGCATCCTCACATTCAGTCAAACGTCTCCATACAATCACAACACACGGACCTCAAAGTAATCGAACAGGGGCGTGACGACGTCCATGCCCGTCAGCTCCGCGAACCAATAGTTCATCTGGATGTTTATGTTTGAATCTTCGCAGTCCCGATGAGCACACGCCAATATCTCTGGCATTCGGAGCACTCACGGTAGTCCGCGCTCCACGGGTTGCTGTCGTCCTTCGCCCACTTGCCCTGCAGGTTCGCCGGCAAAGTGCCCCGCGCGCTGCCGGCGAGGAGGTACCGCCCAAAGTTGAACAGCAGCCACTCCAGGTACGGATTCCCCACGTCCGTCTGGTACGCGTCATGCAGCTGGTCCGTCGGGGTGGCGAAGTCGGGCGTCTGGTCGAGGTCGAGCTCGAATTTGGTTATCAGCCCCGCGTAGTCCGCGATGTGCGCCGCGAGCGCGCCATCGTACGTCGTCGCGGACGCGGTCGCGGGCTCAATCAGCGCGACGAGGGCATCGTGCGGGTCCGCGCCCTTGAACGAGAAGCTGTGCACGGCGTCGCCCGCGTCGGCGTCGTAGTCCGTGCCGCCAACCCAGGTGATGAACGCGTCGCTCGCGCCGCTGACACTGATCGTGGCGTTGTTCGTCCCGGTGGGCGCGCAGACAATGGAGGTGTTCGTGCCGCTCGCGCTGACCCGGGCGAGGATCTCGAAGGCCATGCCGGGGCTGGAGGCGGTGCCGGTGATCTGGAGCGTCGAGTTATCGAAGCATGAGACGGTGGGAATAAGGATCCCCGACTCCGCATCGACAGAGTAGGCGTAGGTCAGAGCGGGAAGGGTGCTAGCATCGGTCGTGTTGATGCGCTGGACGCATGCCTGCGTAGGATGGGAGCAGAACGTCTCGCTGTTGGCGTCTAATTTCAGCCATGTCTGCCCCGAGTGGTCGGTCGATTGGATTAGTTCACTCACCGGAAGAAGGACGCGTTTCCTTGGGTCCATGAGGTGCGTTGCACGGCAGCATCCAAATCGAGCCATCGGACAAAGTCAGAGAAACCGCCATTCAGGTCGAGGGTGGCGAGCAGATATCCGGCACCGACGTAGGAGCCTATCGAGAGCGGCTTGTGAATTCACGAACTCACCTGCCATTACCTGCAGGTACGAGGCTTACCGTACGCGCCGGCATCGGTGGTCAGCTGCTCGATGTCTAAACAACCACGCGTAGAAGTGAATCAATCCACACCACGGACCCCGCCAGATGTAGACGCACTGTCGATGGTCCCGTTGGGGCTCTGGAAGATGGCTTGACGTATCACCTGCATTTCTTGCGCCACGGTCGCCTGGTCGGAAGCCGCCTTATTCCCTCCATTGTACGTCTAGGAAGCAGGAAGCAGGTCAACACCGTATGCTGCCGTACACCCAGGAACGGCGTATGACGACATGCGGCCCGGAAGCCCATTCACTTACGGGATCCTGGAAGGGGCCACCAGACCAGAGGGACTCGATGTTAAGCTGGGTCACCTCCTGCGCAGCCTGTCCGTTGACCATCGCTGCAAGGCGCTGTCAGGATCTCGCGCAGAGCTGATCCAGTAACAGTGACACCCACCTGCAAGGTAGCCGTTCCCAACAGGCAACCAGTCGTCCGCCCAAAAATCAAAGTCGCGGCCTGGTTGAGTGTACCAGATCCCGTTTCCGGATGCGGGGAACGCGGGAGGCGCCGCAACAGCAGCGGAGATGGCGGAGCCAAGTCCGACGGCGACACCTGCTCGTCGGAGGTGCATATTGGCAGCGTTAAGGGTCGAAGAGCAGGTCAACATGCATGACCATAGAGAGAGCGTATTTATGGGACCAATGATAATCAGCGGCTCGCTACGGGGCTACGGGCTCGGTGAGATGCAAGATCCTTCGCCGTCGCAATGGGCGGCAAGCGCGTAGAGAAGCGTGCATGACCCGTACACATGATGCGCTTCGCTGGCCAGCATCGGCATGCGGCGTGGAGAGAGCATGGCACGCCGGACAGTTACCGGACGTAGTAGGGGACTTGCCTTGTGCTTCGTCAAGTAGAATTGGGTATGAGTCTTGTGCCTGGTCCACAAGAGCCGGCGGGCCGCTGGAGAATAGCGGAGGTGATGGCTACGTGGGGGTGAGCATGATGGTGGTACAAGCCGAATGAGTTGTGGAACTGACCCGGGAGGAGCCGATGACGTTGGCTGTCGCAAAGAAAGCTCAGTGATGTAAGATCCCAGAGAAATCATCAGTCAACGATGTAGGGGACTAACCAATGCACCCGTGCCCGAACGAAAGGAGGAGTTCATGGCATGGTTTCAGAGAACTCATGGTGGTCTTGTTATACGCTGGGGTGTGTTCATGGACAGTATGAGACGAGAGTGCGCAATGAAGAGCGTAGGGCAGCTAGGAAGTATACGAGGAGGTCCCCCTATACCGTCGCGAATGCACTGCAAGTGTCACGAGGTGATGGGAACCGGAGACGACGCTGTCAGCGCTGTGGGGTGTGCTTCGGGACGCCAGCGTGTGGATGACGGCGTTGTTGAGGGGCCAAACGAGAGCTCGACGGTTTGGGATACAAATGTCAGGTAATTCTTGCGATGCTTCGTTGAATGCAACGTCGTGGCCTGGACAGATCGGCCGAGTCCCAAGGGAATAGAAGGGAAGGGCCCTTATCTAAAATTGAACTCGTTCCCTTTACAGGTCACGTATAAGGATGCTTATGACTCGGAGTGAAGACAGTCTGTCTTCGTGCACTGAAGACGCGGTACGAGGATGAGCAGCAAGGAGTATTTATAGTAAGAGTCTCCGGACGAGCCTCGGTACACACATGTAAATACCTCGCAGAACGGCGCTTGAGCGATATGTTAATGCTCTCTGCGTCGCTCGATTTCGACTGCAGCAATGTTGGTTCTGGATCGCTCTCGACGTCTGCGCGGCCTTGCACAGTCGAAAGCGAAGTCGTTGACCATATGGCGACGGTGCGCGGACGTACTTGTGTCGCGCGCGCACCAACGCGCGATGATTGCCTGTTGTGGGGCGTCGCGAGATGCGGTCGTCAAGACAGCGCTCTTGATCGCGCGGACAATGATGAGCAGCCCGCGCGACTCTTCCACACCTCTCCTTCGCTGTATTCCTACACCTCTTCGCCCTCGCACAGGGTGGAGTCTACGCTTCTGTCTTTTCTCCCTTGTCATTCGTTTCGCTGTGCGACCTCTAGGGCTTCTCTTGAACACCTCAGAGTCGCGGTTCGAGCACTGATATCAAAATGGCGTTGTCCGAGTTCTCGTCGATTGGAAAGAGGAAGCTTGGCGTTCATGGTATGCCATGCCCGCCGCCGAGTTGTGATTGACTTCTTGCCTTCCATGCTAACGTCTAGTGGCTGCTAGTCCTGTTGATCATCTTCACCATTCTTGCCCTCGCGTTCGCCGTGCGGGTGAACCATTTCCAGGAGTATTACTGTGAGTTCCCTTTCTTTCGTTCGTAGCACATGGTAGCGGGAGGACCGAGGGTAGCCACGCGAGGAGTCCAAAACAGATGAGGAGGGAGAAGAAAGTCGGGATCGTGCAAGTCAACCGTCTGCTGAAACCTTAGTCTCTTGATCGAGAATGTCTCCCCACCGCTCCAGCTACACCGTTGTCCTTTCGCCTGGCTCCAAGGCGATTGGCTGAACATGCAGCTAACGAAACTTCTCCTTCGCAGTCATGGCAGATCTCTTCCCTCTAGGTCTTGCAGTGACGACCCTGGTCATCCTTATCTTCACGTACGTCGGAATGATGAAACCTATAGAGCTTGATGCCGAGTTGCCTGTAGGCTTGTCCTCGACGTTGCCATCAAGAACATACCCACCGCGCGCCCCGCAGTTGAAGTCGGCCTCCTCTACGTCCTAAGCATCTTCTGGCTCGGTGCGTACACTCAACGCTATCCTCCTGTCATGAGCTGAGCGTCCCGGGAATCAGCGTTCAACGCATTCTCTACCTCCCGCTGGAGCCGCATTCCCATGAGCTGCGGTTCAATCCCCGATGGTACGCCTTACATTTCCGTCCGGATGCATACCGCTCACCTCGCCCGACCTCCCAGAGTACGCTGACATGCGCGGGTGGTGCCGCGATGTCCAGGCTCTCAAGTCCTTCGTCTGGATCGAGTTCGTCGCGAGTGCGTCTAGTATTACCTACCTCGCGAGTGTATATGCAGCTGAAACATTCACATGCAGTCTTCTTCACGGCGTCCTGGATCCTCCGCTACGCCCTCTCGGAACACAAGCAGGGCCACCAGCACATCTGGGGCGGCCCCCTCTCGCGCTACCGCCCGCACGAAGGCGCCCCCAACGCCCGATTGACGTTCACGGACTACTTCGCCCCCGTCCGCGGCCACCAGGCCTTCGAGAAGTTCTGAGCTCTCATGGAGCGCAGTGCAGCGATGTGAACTATGACGCTTACAGAAGGGGCTGGTGACGATCCACGACTCAACATGTATACCTGCTTGGATCTTGTTTTTGTTTTTGTGTTCGAGCCGGACGTCCTTCCGGCAGGGGCGGCTGGCGTGTGTAGTTTAGCTGAAATATCGTTCCTTGTTGCTTGGACATGTTAGACGAGGCATCGTACTGAGTGAAGGGCAGAAATTTATCTGAACCTCAGCCGTGCAACTCGCACTTTGCTGGCGGGGCCGAAAGCGCATGATGAGATGATGTACGTACGTTGCAGAACAAATGACAGCTCGAGATAGTCGTGTGGGAAGGAGGGTGCGGAGAATGGGAAGAGGTGCGGCGGACAACATGGAAACGTACTAGACATGCAAAGAACACCTGGTGACCAGATCCCTCGTACTTAGCCAGAGACCCTTTCCCAGCTAGCCCATTCTATACTGTGAGGATTGAGCGACCGCTTCACGAACACTCGCATCGCACAGATGTCAACGAGCAACGACCATGGGAACCGTGTGAGACAACTGGATGAAAACGAAGACATCCCTAGTCGCGGTGGTACGAAGACGAGGAGTTTGGCGCTTGTTACCGGCACAACTCTGCCTAAACCCCCATCCTGGAAATCGCCCTATAGGGCAAGGTCCAAAGGTCCAAAGGTCACCCTATGGGAAAATTGTATTGCGAAATCATGCTCGAATGTAAGAGAGATGGCAGGGATCGGCAAGGACGAGAGGCGAACCGTGAGTCGCCGACCGGACGAGGTTCTGGACGCTGACGAAGCTTCCCCATGTCTTGCCAGATGACGAGCTTAGACTGAATTGGATCAATCAATTGTCTACCAACGCAGCAGCGACTGAAGACTACATTATACGACAAGGAGCACATGCAACCAACGGAGATATGCAAGGGACGATGTCGAGTCATCGCAGACTATGAGGCCAATGGGCTCACCAACGAGTTGATTGACTCACGACAGTACCTATCCAAGCAGTGCTATCATAGGTGCGCACTCTTTCGTCATGGGCATCGGTTGTGTCGCAAAGAGCGTGTTTTTCTCTACCGCACGCGGGGAATCAAACTATGATCAGGAAGGGCTGGACACGAGATGAGTGCCATTGCACAACGAAAGTTGGGCAACGGCGTTCACCATGAATGTAATTATGCGTGTAAGAGAAATAGTCAGCATGAGAACCGGCGGTGTACGCCAAGCATTAGGGGCTTGATACCGTTCCCGCAACTTGTGGAGGTTGCAAAAGAGGAATGATAGAAGGATATGCCACTGAACAGTTCTTCAGGCCGAGATGCCAACTCAGCACTCAACCTTTGCTGGGTTATGACACAACGTGATGCCCTTGCGCCCTCGAAGGGCATTGCGCACTAAGTAGTCGAAGAAAGGGTTTCGTGAACCAGTGACGTAGGGTGAACTTCGATCTCATCGACCAAAAAGCATCATTCTATGTCTATGAGTGTTGTGGTGGACACTGCGTAATGGTCAAGAATCCGCGCTGCTTCGTGGTGGTAGCTCTAAGGAAACGTCATGGTGGCCCAAGCCGAGCTAGTATCGTGAGAGGGCTGTCCATTGCTCCTGTCGTTCCTCGAAACGCATGCTTCTGTGCTGTCGTTTGCTTTGGGACTATTTAGCCGGGAGGTTGAAAGGGCAGTTGTAGTGGCCGACGATCCATGGATTGCGTGCGGGATCAAAGTATCCGTCCGTGCTTCACAGGCGTACGCGTTTGGCGCCTTCCTTGGCACGATGGGACCGTTATCGATGAACGAGCGAGCGTGTAGGTCCCGGGGACGGGAAAAATGCTCAAAAATTTACACCGTATTGGCTTATGGCAACTAACGTCCAGCGCGAAGACTGTGGCATCTGGTTCATGTGCAGGGAGACTCAACAATACACGTCTCTGTGGCATGTCTGTAATATCGCAAACATCGGTCCTTGGCGAATGCTTGAATAATCGGGGGGACCCCGTAGATGAGGGCGTAGCGGGCTTGCATGCGGCTGGAAAGGTGAGTCCTTCGACTGATCTTTGTTAGAAATGACATAGTGGTGAGTGTTCGCATCATACACCCAAAGTTTATGGCATCATGATGTGCTGTTCAGCGTCGGCTTTGATTAATTTACGGGAGGAGAAGAACATAAGGTCCAAAGGTGATGTGGGGGACAATGGTTGTGTGGGTCTCCGGTACATATGTCACATTGGCGTTGGTTCAGTTTGAGAGAATGCTAATGTTTCCTGTGTTATATTCTTCACTGCCGGAAGGGTCGTTCACGTTGGTCACGTTGCCACACGAGGGGACAAAGGTTGTCAACACAAGTGACGCGGCGACCAGACGCAGGCGAGACGCTGGGATTCGCCTCTACCGCCCTCTCCACTCCAAAAATCGCTCCTTTCTATCTGTCACTCATGACTTGTGTTCTTTGTCCCATACACCCCATGTCGATTTTGCGATAACAAGGATGGGCTTTACCAAGATCACGATGATTGCCTTGTTTGTAAGACTCGATAATCTCACTTGTCGCGTCACCCGGCAGTGATTCGGGCCTCGGGTATGCAGAGCGGCGCGGAAAGCTCGCTCATATTATTCGACAGCAGAGACAAAGAGGACAACAAGCTGACTGTTGTGTTATAAGACCTTTTATTCTATTTTTGTTGTTTGTTACTTACTTGCATCAGGTGTCTGCGAGAGTTACAAAGTCTTTTGTATCTACACCGTGTATTTATTATGCACTCCGTACGCACTAATGGACGACTGCATTCACCTACGCCTCACTCCTGAACTCCAATACTGTCGTGGCTGGAAGAAAGCTCGGAGGTCAGCGAGAACGAGATAGAAGACGACGATATGGGAGACGACGACATCCATCCGCTCGCCGTCAAGCTCTCCTCCCATCGACAGCCTCCACCTCCATCGAGCCCCGGCCCCACATGTCTACCGCCAACCATCCAACAGAGATACTCTGTATCATATTCCACGTCGTCCGTCGGGACGCTTTGGACCGCGACGAGGCCGATATGTCGTGGGCGCGACTAGGAGGTGAAGGGGAAGGGGCCCAGGATAGGGATGGCCAAGGTGCGGCGGACGGCCTAGCAGGCAGGTGCACACACAGAAATGTGTGTCGGTGAGTGAGGTTCGCTTCTTGCAAAGTCGACAATGTACTCATACCGCGATCTTGGCCAGAAATCGAGGACCCATCCTGATGTCTCGACGTCCAGTTTGCGGTGGATGCCTTGAGATCCCCGCTTGTAACCGTCATCCTACAGACTATACCAATCTCGCCATGTCAGGAAAGCCTCATACCCGGCCCACCCCCGCCGCGCCGACGAGGAGAATCAAGTCGGCGCCGTCAGCAACGCGAGCAGTGACAGGAACAGCGATAAGGAATAAGTACGTCACCCATTTCTGCTTCTGTTGGTCGTGGAAAGCGGCGTAGAGCACCCATTGAAGACAACAGTTACACCGCACGCGTCCCACCCACCAAGCGCAAGAGGTTGCCGGGTGGCTCCTCGGTAAACGTCGGCCAATTCAAGAAGTCCAAGCGGCCGCGTATCCCGGTCGACGTCCTCGACCGTCTCTGCACGGTGATGCCTAACGCACCGTGTCCGTGGCCGACGTGCACGGAAAAATTCCAATTGGTGCAGACGGGCGAGGGCGAGGGCGCTGCCCGGTCGAAGTGCAAGATTACGGAGCACTTCAGGGAGCACGTCGAAGATGGCCGCATCTTCAAAACGAACGGAGCGATCGTGTGCCGCGCTTGCCACAAAAAGGACCAGGGGAACACCTTCGTTCGACACGTGAAGGCAGCTCACTGGCATGCGAGGTGGGGGTGCTTGCTCACCCTGCACGGACTGGAGTGCTCGTGGCAGGGGACACGGCCCGGCGATGTTTCCCAACATGTTGAGCGGAAACACCGTGGACACATTGACCTACTTCCCTCCCTTCCTACGTAACGGGAGCCGCGTCCTGTGGCTCAGGCCGTGAGTCAGGAGGGCGAGGCAGGAGGCGTGGCTAGATGCGACATGGACACAAGCGAAGACATCGTGATCGAAGGCGACGTACCTAGGGCTTGACAGAGGGCGCGGACAGGAACGACGCGGGCCTTTCATCCTTCCGTTTGTCACCTTCCTGGTGGCACTCCTAGTGTCACCAGCTGACGCCGCCTCCGCGTAGTGAGTGGCTTTATGCGTTCTCCTTGTTTGCGGGCTGAGTCAGAATTTGCATTCCCTTCTTCTGCTGCTCGTTGTATTTTTCCAACCATACTATCAAAGGCCCTTGTTTACCGCCCCGCATACCACAGCCAGGTTCTCCTCTCTGAGTGGAGCCGGACGCGAGTCGGAGCTGTTCAGCTTTAAAACATAACTACCTCCCATGACAATCAAGGGCACTAGGCCCGCATTGTTCACTCGTGTACTATTGATGCTTTGTCGTATGTCTCCGCTGTACATTACTTAGCCGTCATAGTGACTTCTAGCTGCACCGAAACACTTAGGCTGTAACTTGCTTGTAGGAATCAAAATAGCCACAGCTTGTTTACGCAATTCCATGATGGAGTGGATTGCTTCTATGCTGCTGACGCGTCGTCGCTCCGTAGGTCGTTCTGACGACCCGACAAGCCTTCCAAACACTCTCCTCCCCTGCTGTTCGAGCTCGGCATCACTGTCTGGGAAGGCAAATGGGAGGCCGGGATCAGGTATCGTGTACACGTACATCTGCTCAGACTGCCCAAGAAACACGCTGATGCATAGCTTGCTGGTCGTCCTTCTCGCAAACACAGGCCTTCACATGGCTACGATCAAAGTGCATGTCCGCTTGACGAAGAACCGGACGCTACCACGACAGGATAGGACAGACGGTGTCCTTGTCGTGATGCCGATATAGCCCCACGTAAGAGAATCTCGGGATGTGGTGCGCTCTCGCACTCGTAGAAAGCACATACCCGGCTGGCAGGCCCATGTCCGCTACGTGGCTCCCTTCTCCTGCCATACAAAAGCCCTCCTACGTTCCCGGTTGTTGTCGCATACATACGGATCGTAATGTCGACGCGGGTACTGATGTTGCGTCGAAGCAACGCACTCATGGTGTCTTCACCCTGCGCTCCGTCCGAGTAGAATCGCCTCTCGCAGCCAAGTCCCGCTGGGAGCCACAACCGGCGCAGAGCGACATGTGATGAGAAGAAGGAGCTCAGGGACGTCGTGGTACCATGATGAGAACAAGGTCCGACATCAGACGCCGGAGCAACAAGACCGATCGCGCACAAGTTTGACTGGGACTCCCATCCCGCGCTGCGAGATAGCATCGAATACGTTGGACTGAGGCCCAATACTTGCCATGCACACCAGGCCACCGGACGAGCAGGTATAGTAGTGTGTCGTTGAGGAGTCAACGATATGGAGGCTGACG